GAGTTCCGCCAGAGGTGACTGTCCTTTGTGAAATTTGCTCTGTGATAGGTTCAGAGAGGAGGCCTTCAGATCCTGATTAATATTCAGAGCAAGAAGTCTCTTAAAATCAAATGCTGAGGTGCACAATAAGGGAGGCAGCTGACAGCCCTCCCTACAGCGCATATCACCCCTTTAATAATTCTCTCTGATGCCGTCATGGATTTGAATGTTGGAAGAAACGCGATGTCTTTGTTCCTGCTGTAGATTTCTGCTGTAGTGTGCCAGACGTCAGCTTTGATCAAATCAGAATGTCTCTGTTTTTTTTTCACATGCAGAGCAAAAAAAAACACCAAGTAAAGTATTTCCTCTTCTGGACAACCGATTGCAACCGAGTAAGTGGACAGCAATCTGGCCCCAAGGCATCGATCTGCTGTGAGGTATCAGCCTGGCTCAGTGGTCTAGGGTGACATTCCAGTGCTGGGGGGGAAGCATTGTAAATATTGTCTGGTAAGTTTTCCCACTGTTTGTCCAAGTAGAATCAACCTTCCTGTTAGGGCTTTGGCTTGCAGGGTTAACAGGTGCTGAATGGGAATTGTTCCAGGTCCCAGTGACTGGTTTGCCCCTCTAAGTTCCGCCAATGAGCCAGGCTGGGTGGTCTGTTATCAGTGATATCCCACAAGCACAGCTTTGATGCCTCACTAGGTGGATGACAGGTACCAGGAACTCTCCGCAAGCTTCTTGGTTAGCAGCACAGCTCAGCATTAAACCTGTTAGAGCATTGCCACCATCCTACTGCCAACAGCTTAGACACACATCCCTTCCCATTTGAGCAAAAGTCGAAGGTGCAGAGCTTGAAAAGCAGCTGCTTCCCAATCAAGGTGGGCCCCAAGGTCCCATCTCAATGTTTCAGGTGGAAGTTAAAGATCCCCCAGCGCTCCTTTAATAAAGAGCAGAAAGTTCCTCCTTCATCCAAATTCATCAAAAAAGATTAAGTGGCCCTTCATCTCATGGCTTTGCCACCGCTTGCCTCGGTAAGATGTCACTGCACTTTAAAGGATCTCATTGGAGTGAAGCGTTTTGAGACAGTTCAAAGTGATAAGGCATCGCATCACATCAAATGCAAGGATTATTGTAATATTCACAGCTGCCAACGAGGGAAGCGAGATACTCTTCCTGGGGGAATGGGATGGGGAGGGAATTGGAAACAGATCTGATTTCTGTCCCACTTTGCAGCTCTTTCCAGCTGGTTCCTGAGATCAGCTTTCATGTGGCTGTGAGGACAGATGTTGCTCCTATTATTTGGTCACCGCTGGATGTTCATTAGCTTAGCGATATATAAAAAAATGATTGAAGGGAGAGGGCAAAAGAATATATTTGGTCTTTCCTCGCCTTCAATCCGCACAGAATTTGGAACAGACAGCTTCAAGCCATGCCTTTGATGATCCTGCCTTTCTTTTCTTTTAGAAACACATTCTGTCTGCCTGCTTTGTCTTGCCCTTGAACAGAGAATCCTGGCATTGTTTGGGCTACACTGATCTTCTGCAATCTACGGCGTTTTAATTTACAGATGCAGTGTCAATCCCTCCTGGCAGTTGGGCCAATTTTATTTGTTAATAAATGACTTATCTGTTCCCTTGTCTCTCTGAACCTCTCCTTTCACTGGATCACGCAATCAAGTCTGCCTTTTTCTTTCAGATTTGTTTTCTTTAACCAAAACATCCTTTGCCGCTTTGATTTCGAATCCGTCTCGCAGAAGCGAAGGCGCTCGTCTGTGATTTCTTAAAACTTGGTCCAACGTTGCAGATCAGCAATTCTAATGATCACTGAGACTTCTCACGAGTGACGTTTCGAGCTGATCATCCGTCTGCAGTGCCCTCGGCGTCAACATCACCTCAAAGCTCTGCAGTCTGCTTTATCAATTCCTTCTAACCTGCTTTAAAACTTCTTAACGTTCACTCCAGCTCCCTGTGTTCTCGGTTTATTCCTGCCGATCGTCTCTGCGCCTTTATCCAGGGCATTTACATAGCTCTTATCCATCATTGATGCTCTCCTGTCAAAATCATATTCCTATCATTAGGTAGAATTACTGTATTCACTGCACAGAGTTGATAATTGTATAAGTTGATTTAAAGCCTCTCCCACGCACTGTTAGGTTTCTTTCTTATTAATGATAATAATAATATTGCATTTGATATAGCACCTTATCACGTCTCAAAGAGTTTCCTAGGTTGGCCCCTATTCTTTCCTATCCTGTACCCTTTTTAAGTCCTTGATAATAATGCTATTAAGATAGTATTGTCTAAAATGCTTATAGCAATATGTGTTGAGTGTATGCTATTGGCGGAGCAAGTCTTACTCTCTTGTTTCCTATATCCCTTAGGGCTCAACTGGTAGCACTCACCTCCAAGTCAAGAGTTTGTAGGTTCAAATTTCCTTCAGCTGAATAATAATAATAATGTTGATAAGATGGAAGCCATACTCTTTGGCTCTTGTCAACGTCTAAAATCACACGGTTCTCACCTCCTCCACCTACCCGACCTCCCCCTAAAACTCTCCGAACCCGTATGCAACCTAGGTGTCAGGTTCGACCCCCAGCTATCCTTCCTCCCCCGCATCCGGTCCCTCACCAGCACTGCTTTGTTCCACCTCTGACGCATTGCCCGTCTCCACCAATATCTCACTTCAAAAGCCGCTGAAACCCTGGTCCATGCCTTTGTCACCTCTTGGCTGGTCTACTCTAACGCCCTCCTCACCGGCCTCCCTTCCACCATTCATAAAATCCACGTCATACAAAACTCTGCCGCCCACATTCTTACCCGCACCAAAACTCCGCTCCCTGATCACCCCATTCCTTACCAGACTGCTCTGGCTGTCTGTCCCAGAGAGGATCGACTTCAAGATCCTCACCCTTGTCTTTAAATCTCTCCACTCCTCTGTACCTCCCTACCTCTCTGACCTCCTCTTCCCTCAAAACAGTGCCTCTTGCCTTCGCTCCATCAGGTCTGGCTTCCTCCTTGTCTCCCGAGTCCTCTGCTCCACCCTTGGTGGCCGTGCCTTCAGCCACTATGCCCCGAGGCTCTGGAACTCCCTTCCTCACTCCCTTCACCTCGTTCCCTCTCTTCCTATTTTCAGGTCTCTGCTGAAGACCTTTCTTTTCGACCGCGCCTTTGGTCACCTTCCTCCCCCTCCCCCTGGCTCGGCCCCGGAATTCGTTACTGTGAAGCGCTCTGAGACGCCGTCCGGCGTGGAGGGCGCTATATAAATCCAAGTTGTTGTTGTGTTTGTTATTTCCTCTCCTTTCTCCTTTGCTTGGCATCTGGCCTCATCACTTTGAAATGCTCTGAGACCTTATCCTATGTGAAGGAGCTATAGGCATGCAAGTTGTTCACTCCCCAGACAATACACAGTCATCACACTTCACAGTCAAATCATGCTTTGAGATGACCTCCTGACATGAAAGGCGCAATATCAAATGTAAGGATTATTGTTATTATAAAAACATGTAAGATAAGAGAGGTTCAGAGATCTCTAACAATAATATCAACAGAGCACTATTCCTGGAAATCTGTCCAGTCATTAACTACCCTCTGGGTAAAGAGAGATCTGTAAACTTTCCCAGTTTTAGGAGAAACAGCCCCAAGGAGATAGCCAAGGTGTGAAGGCAACAACAACAAATCACATTTATATCGCATTTTTCACATTGGGAGGACGTCTCAAGAAGCTGGACAGTCAAGGATTTGGACCCGAGCTGGGGGTTGGGATCAGGCGTGGTGGAAGACAGCGAGGGTAGGGGTAAGAGGGTGACCAAAGGTGTGGACGAAGAGGAGGTGGTGGAGGGCCTTGAAGGAGGCAAGGGAGGGGATGAGCTGAAGGGACTGTGGTATTGATCCAAAGTGTGGGGCAGAGAGGCTGAAGGACCAACATTGGCAGTTGGTCCTTCAGCCTTTTTGGGGTGACATTGAGCAGGACGGGGCTCACTGAACAGAGTCAAGGTGGAGGCAAAGAAATAGAGTTGGGTGTCATCTGCATACGTGTGACCCCATGTCTGCGGAAGATGTCACCAAGGGGGAACAAGTAGATATTGAGGGGAGCGAAGCTGGGCAGCAATGACTCGTTCCAGGACCTTGACAGGGAGGGTGGGAATGTGGATGAGAGGTTCACCCCCAGGCTCTGGGGCCAGTGGGCCTTGCAGAAGTGGAGGATGGGGCAGTCAGGTGGTCGTTGCTGGACAGCCAACGGCGAGTGCAACCCTGAGCGCAATGGAGGATTCCAAGGCTGAAGCAGAGGGAGACTGTGGGACGTTCAAGCAGGGACAGGAGGCGAGAAGGCGAGGAGGTGGATAAAGGACAGGGATAATAATAACAATAATAATAATAATAATAATCCTTGCATTTGATATAGAGCCTTATCACGTCTTCGAGGCGTCTCATTTTAAGGGAAAGCAGCCCGGGTCAGCAGCCCAAAGTGCGCACACCGAGACTGAGAGCTGGCGATCGGGAAGTCAGTGGGGCAGAGTCAACCCACTGCGTGGGTGGCAGAGAACAACACTGGAGCCAATGTTAGAGGACATTTTTTAAAAAGTGGACATCATGCATCAGCTGATGTTAGCAGTTGGTTTTGGAGGGAGAGTTTGAAATGGCCGACTCGGAGTCTGGACCAACTGAAGGTGACAAAAACTCCCGTGTCGCCAAGACAGTGAAGACAACCAACACCAACATTTGCCACAGAACGCAGTAAGTTGTCGACCATTGCATAAGTGCGTCTCTGCTTCTCTCTTCTGTTAGGACAGGCTTGATGAGACTTGCTCCTCTTCAATGGCCTTCTTCATGTAAGATCTTATGTTCTTAAGTTCAGGCAATATACCATTGAATTTCAGAGACGTCAGCTGATCACTGTTTAACAGTAAATCTTTTGCCATTTTAACGCTGCGTGGATCAAAAGAATTGTACTTCTTCACAATGCACTTCTCAAGACAATGAAAGTAAACGTTGGACAGTTTAACGGCCAGACGCCTTTTGCCTTTAGAGTAGAATTCTCTGGTGTCCCGGGTTCTTCAAGATCAAACTAATATTTCCTTGGTCGTTCGGTAATGGCTTGCGACACCCGTAACACATTTTAGGTTTCCGCTTCAGTTTGCTGAGATCAAGAACCTCAAAACTTCTCGGTTTATCTGAAATACGAAGCAGAACATTTTGTCAGTAGTCATTTGGGGCAACGGGAATGTAACTAATTAGCGTCTGCCTATCTCTCTGATTATCTGCTTGTACCCCATTCCTCTGCTCACCCCTTCTGCTCAGCTAACCTGCTGTGTAGCCTCCACCCGTTCACACCACCATCAGTGACTGAGCCTAACCTCTGGAACTCCCTGCGACTGCTCCTCTACTTCACCCCTTTCTCCATCTGTCTTTAAATCCAGTGTTAAAACCTATCACTTCAACTGCACCTGTGGTCATCTCCCCCTTCTCCCTTGCTTGGAGTCTAACCCCAACTGTGACCTGCTCTGAGACACTATCCTGCAGTGAAGAGCGATGTATAAATGTAAGCTGTTGTTTTTGCGGCCATTCGGTCCGTCCTTGTCAGAAAGAAATGAGGAGTTTGTGAAAGGGACAAGCAAGTGACTTCACTTGTCAAAGAGCTCAAATCCCAGTGACAATTAGGAAGTTAGGAGAAGGAAATACTGGTGATGAGGGAAGGACAATGGAGCAGACAGCACAAAATAGGATAGTCAACAGGATGTGGTTGAGGAGAGAAAGAAGAGGAAGTGAGACAACAGATAGGTTGGAGTGAGATAAAAAGCAATATGCTTGCTGTTTGTAATAGTTTCCTGTTCCTAAGAGGTTTTTTTTTGTTCAGTATTTGAGTCAAATATGCACTGAAGCATAATGATAGCATGTGGAGTCAGTGAAAAGAAGCAGAGTGAATAGCAAGCTGGCTACAAGACAAAAAACAGAGAGTAGGGGGTAAAGAGTAGCTACTCAGACTGGCAGAGGGTGGGAAGTAGTGTTCCACAACAACAACAACAACAAGATTCCATTTATAGAGCGCCTTTCACGTCGGGAGGACGTCCCAAGGCGCTGTACAGTTGGGTCAGGACCCAAGCGTTGGGGGGAAATGGTCAGGGTGAGGGGAGGGAAGGGAGGGAGCGAGGAAGGGGTAGAGAGTCGAGAGGGGAGCTGAAGGCACTGTCAAAGAGAAAGGTCTTGAGACCGGCCTTGAAGGAGGAAAGGGAGGAGGCACAAGGATCGGTATTGGGACCACTGTTTTTCATAATTTATAATTTTCATAATTTACTGTGGACCCACCTGGCTACATTTATTACGTTTAGAGAGCAACCTGCTCCCGTTTTTAATTACCTTCTGGGTAAAGAAACATTTCCTGGTATTTGTCCTGCTCTTTGCGAATCTAAACCTGTACCCTCTTGTTCTCCTGTCCATGCATCCTAAAGTGTTATTCTGAGATCAATCGTATTGGACCTGTTCAATTTAAGGACCCTTTTTCTGTTCTTAAATAGTTTTCTAGTCCTGATTTTGAACTTAAGTTCGATTCCCGGTAGGGTGAAATGTTAGGCAAGTAATAATAATAATAATAATCCTTGCATTTGATATATAAGCAGTAAGCAATAATAATCCTAATAATAGGATTTTGGGGTTCAAGATGCTTTGAGACGTCTCAACAATGTGATTAGGTGCTGTATCAAATGCAACGATTATTATTATTAAAGAAATGGCTTTTTCTAACAACCCTTGAGTTAGCGTACATCAGGCCCTCTCCTAGCTCCGCTGGGGAGATTTACGTGAAGCAATGCATTCTCATGCCCCAGGCTGTGGAGTCCTGTAGCTCAGTCGTTAGAGCACTCGCTTCACAAGGGAGAGACCTGGGTTTGATACCCGGCGAAAAGTTTCCTTACTCCACACGCCTCTGTTTACCTAGCAGTAAGTAGGAACCGAGTTGTTAGTCGATTAGCGGATCGCTTCTCCAGGGATAGTAATTCCCTCAAAAAAAAATTGGTCACTTCTATCTATGATTGTTTGTGGGACACTATTGTGCACAGTTGGCTGCCATGTATTACCTACAAAATATGCAGTCAATTCACTTTACAGTATATTCTGTGAAGCGCTTTGCGACATCTCGAATACGTGATAAGGAGCTATATCAAATGCAAGGATTATTATTATAACATTATCATACAGGCAAACAAATACAGTGGGTTTAGCTTGTGCTTCCAAAAACAGTCACCAAACTGAGGTATCCTGATGACAAGTGGAAAGCAATTGCAGAGAGACATCAGAGAGGAAGCATGCAATGGTACAATATGTTCATGATAACTTCCTCACAGGTTACGTAGGATTTCTATTCCCATAATAAGCTTGGTTACCTGGGCAGTAATACGAGCCAGCACTCGTACATCCTGCTGAGAGCTTTCCTTTGGATCTTCCAGCCTTCATTGGTGCAACTAAGGCAAAAGCACAATAATAAGCTCAGTGCATAGCCTTTAAACTCACTTCATTTCTTATCATTCAATGGCCAGCGCCATCATGCTGGGATGTCCATCCACCCGTTTCAGCCTCAAAATATACAGTCACTCAATTTTACAGTGTATTCCGTGAAGCACTTTGAGACATCTCAAAGACATGATAAGTCGCTATATCAAATGCAAGGTTTATTAGTAGTTGTAGTATTGTTATTATGTCCCAGTATCTTTGACAGAATGCAAGCTACAAACCAGGAGGATCTCAGCCTCTTATTGACTAATAGTTAACTATTGAACCCAATTAATTCTATCTACCTCAACAACCTTCTCTGTTACTGTATTCCAACAAACCGTTCTCCCCATTTTGATTCAGTTGGTAGCTCGAAGTCAGAAGCTTATGGGTTCAAGCCCCACGCTGGGACTTTGAACTCACAGTCCAGACTCTTTTGAGTGCAGTGTTGGGGGGAGCACTGCATTATCGGAGGTGCTGTCTTTAGGAATGGGACTTTGACTGACGTCCTAATTGCCTGTCCTCAGGGTTTCCGAACCAATATTTGATAAGAGAAGGGAATGTTTTGAATTCAATTCTTCAGAGCCCTGTACTTAAATAGTCACTACATTTTACAGTACAATCCTATGAAGTGCATTGAGAGATTTTTTGACAATGTCATAATAACAATCCTTGATTTTAATGCAACGCCTTTGATGTCAATAGGATGTCTCAAAGTGTTCATAGGAGTTTCTGTAAAGTGTAGTGACTTGGCCAGTACATCTTGCAATAGTGAAACTCCCTTCTCTTTTAAAGTAGAAACATGGGATGTTTAACGAGCACCTTAACAGCCAGACAGGACCTTGGGTCAACTTGCCAGTCAAAGGACAATATCTCCGAAATGGCAGCACTGCATTGGAGTCTTAGCCTAGACTGAGTGACTTTGAAGTCCCAACATGGGGATTGAACCCACAGCCTTCTGACCCAGACACGATATCAAATCCAAGGATTATTATCATCATCATACTTAGAACTTGGTTGAGCCAGAGTAAGCCGGTTTGACGTACGATATTTAGAGAGAGTCCGGCTGAAGAAGAAAAAAAGCTGTTGTGCTCACCACCAAATCTGGCAATTTATATTTCGAACTGTTGATGAAATTAATTCTCTGACAGAAACTTGTCCCGATAATAGATCCACAAAAGATCTTGGTGTTCATACTGATGCTATTACTGAAAATCAATACAATCTGCAATTTGGCAATGCATTTGATTACTTGGTACCATAATAATCCTTGCACTTGATATAGCACACAAGTCTAGGTTTGCAGTTAATAAACTGCTGTATCTATTTATCTCAAAGGACCTTCAGTTAATTTTCTCAGGCTACAAAATTACCCTATAAAAATGGAATCGGAAAAACTTGCTCCAAGCGTTACAGAACACATTATGCACGTAAGCAAATAAGTTACACTTTTATGGTCTAATTCACTTGCGAGTTTCATTGGAAAGTGAGACCTTCAAGGGTTGAATAAACCAATGGTTCCAAGATCATGATTTATGATCCAATCCTCACTCCCTGCTAATCCAGACTACATTGATTTTATGTTATTCTGCTTTTCAATCTCGAAGGACGATTTATAATATAGTATAATAATATTAATAACTTTTGTGATTGCTATAATTACTTATCACGTCGTTGAAATGTCTCAAAGCGCTTCAGGATATTACTGGAAAAGGTAATTATTGAGTAATTGTAGGCAAAGGCAGTAATTAATTTGCACGAAGCAATGTCCACAAACAGACATAAAGTGGATAATCAATTTTATCTGGGGGGATTGTTGACCAGGACACTGAGAAAATTCCCTTGTCTTTTCAAGTAGTAATATGCAATCTTTAACAAGCACCTGAACAGGCAAATGGGACCTCGGTTTAACATCTTATCCAAATGACAACACCTCTAACAATGCAGTGCAACCCCAGCACTGCACCAGAGAGTTCAATGTCCTGACATGGGGCGTGAACTCATAACCTTCTGACTCAGAGGCGAGAGTACTACTGACTTCTGACTAAGTCAGGTTGTCACCTTACAATTGATATTTATACAGCGCTCAGAAGGATAATTCAAACCATTACACATAACTGGCAAATTAATTGCCACATTCACCTACAAATATCTGCCCTTTTCGGTGAATCCTTTTGAGACATCTCGACAACATGATAAGGTACTCTATCAAATGAAATAATTATTTTTATTATTGATTGAGGTACAAGTGAAAAAAGAGTGCCGTCATTGAAAATGAAGGGAGGAAGCCTCAGTCATCAAACTCTATTTCAAACTTAAATGAAAGATTTGCTACACCTCCTCCCGAATGGCACAATAGTCCCCAAGAGAAGCAAATTATGCAATACTCATCTTACCTGGTTTCTTGCCTATATTTATTTGGCAGTCATCCAGTTCTGTTTTTAGTTTTGATACACCTTCCTGCTCCTCCACTGGGGTTTCGATTTTCTGGGATAACATCTTCTCCTTTGCTGGAGTCTCCTTTGTATCGCTCATCTTCACCTGATGCTTTAACTTGGAGGTTGCCTCCACTTTATCCACTGGAGATTCTGCTTTGGGCTTCCTCTCCATTTTCTCCAATGGCACACTAAATTCAAATTTCTCCAAATTGGGAGTTGTCTTCATTTTTTTTCTCGGTTGCTTCAACTTGGAAGTCTCAAGGTTCTTCACTGGTTGCTCCAAATGAGAGGCCATCTTCATCTTCTTCACCGGAGGCTCAGCTTTGCAAGTTGTCTTTTTTTTCATCGCTGAAGACTGTCTTTTGAAGAAGTCTGATAGTTTGGGGGTTAGCTCTGGTTTGAGGGTTAGCTTTGGTTTGGGGAATACAGTTGCTTTCTTCACTGAGCTCCCGGAATTGTGTGATTTCATTTCTGGAATGTGTTTTTGTTTTGCTTTCTTTATTTGTGTCTCCGAATGATAGCTTCTCGCTTGTTTCCTCACTGGAGTTTTGGGTTCCCCACTTTTCTTTGCTGGTTTGTTCAAAATAAAGAATACTTTGTCAGAGGCAATTCCAGAAGTTGATTATTATCAGAGTGTTATTTTCTGAATTAAACTATACAGTCAAACTCTATTTGCTCTTCCAAGTCCTGCCAATGTGCCAATAGGCTGACTGGTTTGTCATCTGTAGTGCTTTGGAATACTATTGACCCACCTGACTACTGAGACTGCCACAGAGGGTTGACTTAATTTGGACATTCCCATGCCAAGCAAGTCACCATGGAGCCAACTCAGCTCCAAGGAGTCCTGTTTACCTTCCGAGGGGATTTAGATTTACATACCTGTTCATGCAGCAGTAAGTAGGAACCTGGTTGTTAGTCGATTTGTGGCAAGCTTTCTGGGGGTAATCATCACTCCGAAATAAATAAATTTGGGCAATTGGCTGCTGTATTTCGCCTACAAAATATATGGTCAATCCACCATACAATATATTTTGTGAAGATCTTTGAGATGTCTCAATGACGTGATAAGGTGGTGTATCAAATGTAAGAATTATTACTATAAATAGATAGTTAGCAAAGGTGCAAAAGAAGAGATAAAGAGGTTTTGTTTACCAAGAGGATGTGGAATGCTCTGCCAGGCATGGTCAAGGTAGAATTCATATTAAATTTGAAGGGGCGTCATTTGCAGAGCAATGGGGAAAGGGTAGCTCAATGGGAATCAATAGATCACTCTTTCAAAGAGCAAACAAGAACACAATGGACTAAATGGCTTAATTTTGTGTTGTAAATTTCCATGTTTCTAGGATTGACAATCACAAACTTAGTAAATGGAGATAATTGGAAGTGGAGGGGAGAAAGCTACTTTGAATCAGTCAGCCTTCAATTATATTTCACAGCCTGGCTCTGATGCTTTTCCCAACTAACTCATGTTGTCTTGTATATATGGTTTAATAAAGGACAGTCAACACGGATTTGTTAAAGGTAGATCGTGTCTGACAAACCTAATAGAATTTTTTGATGAAGTGACTGAGAGGCTGGATGAAGGTAGTACAGTAGACGTAGTTTAGTCGAGCTTTTCAAAAGGCATTTGACAAAGTGCCACATAAGAGATTTATAAACAAAATAGAAGTGCACGGTATTAAAGGGATTGTGACAACATGGATCCAGAAATGGGTAGGAGATAGAAAGCAGAGAGTGGCAGAAAACGGTTGCTTTTCTGACTGGAGGGTGGTGTGTAGTGGTATCCTTCAGGAGTTGGTATCGGGACCACTGCCCTTTCTGATCTATATTAATGATCTGGACTTGGATATAAGGAGCACAATTTCCAAATTTGCAGACAATACTAAGTCAGGAAAAGTAGTCAATGGTGAGGAGGATAGCACCAGACTCCAAGAGGACTTAGGCAAATGGTTTTGTAGGCAAATGTGCAGCCAATTTGTGCCCAGTAATATCCTACAAACAGCCATCAAGTGAATGACCAATTTTATTTGGGGGATTGTTGACCAGGACTCCACCAGGAGTCCTTTTCGAGTTTCCCTTCCCTTTTCGAGTCGTGCCATGGGATCTTTGACATCCAGCTTATGGATGGACAGGGCCTAGGTTTAACGCCTCATCTGAAGGGCACCGCCTCTAAAAATGTAGCGCAATCTCAACACTCCACTGGCGTGTCAGCCTACACCATATAAGTTCAAAATCCCGCCGTAGGGCTTGAACCCAAAAAAACTCTGGCTCAGAGGTGAGAGTGCTACCAACTGAACCAGACTGAGACCTGATCTGAATTTGTTCAGAGTGTACAAGCTGAACAAGATAACACGGTGCCAAATACCAACACTGAGAACAGCAAAGAGCTTAATTGCTAACCTTCCCCCTGTGTTGCTCTTGAAGTCTTTCTCCTGCTCGTTCGATTCTGCGCCTTATCCTTCTCAAAGCGTTTCTTTTGGCTTGTAAGATCACAAACAGTATTCTCTGGATCCTCATTACAACCGTTTGCAATCAGTTTTAAAATAAACTTGCGGTCACTGTGACTCAGAAAGCTTTGGGTTTTCATGTTTCTTTTAAGTATGCGAAGCTTTCTAAAATGCTGCTTCAAAAAGTCACTCCTCAAGTCATTTAATGTCGACCCGATCATCGTTTTCATGTCAATGCAAAGGTAATCGATGACCCTTTGATATTTTCTTTTCTTATTAACTGTTGGCAGCATGTCATCAACAGAATATCCTGCCAAATAAAAAAACATACAAAACAAACGAAATTCAGAATAAAGCTCTCAGAATTGTGCAGTTTCTTAACTAAAAAAGTAAAATTAGTTCAACCTCATGTGTAAAGAGTTAAATACAAATTGGGATTAACGTAGAATAACCAAACAAATAAATAATATTCATCACAAAGTTTGCCAAAACTTTTCAAAACGTTTCACAGGATTTTATTATGTATTTTGCAGGTGAACAGGCAGACTATTTGCACACAGCAACATCCCACAAACAGTCACAAAGTGAATGACCGATTTTATCTGACCTTCATTGGGCAGGACAAGGGAAGAAACTCCCTTCTCTTTTTGAATAGTGCTATGGGATCTTTAATGTCCACCTGAATAGGCAGTTGGGTCATCGGTTTAATACTCATCCAAAGGATGGTACCTCTGACAATGCAATGCTCCCCCAGAAATGCACTGAAGCCTCAGCCTAATCTGTGAGCTCAAAGTCCCGATGTGGGGCTTGAACCCACGGCCTTCTGACTCAGAGGCAAGAGTGTTTCCAAAACACATTCATCACTCTAAGCTGCTTTCCTAATTTCCTGAACAGCGCAGAAAGGAACCAAGAATTAACTAATCGGTTACCGAATATAAACTACATAATAAAATACAAAAAACCCAATAACAGGAGCGGTTGGATTTAATGTGCTCAGTGTATACAATTCAGTGGCTTTTCAGACATGTGCCAGGACTTATGGCACCACATAGACTTCCACGATTTTCTGCTCAGAGTCTTACAGACGGCTTGTAGCCTTTTAACTCTTAGCAGGTTGGAACTAAAAAGGCCAATGAACCCTCTCGCAAATTATACACCCACCTCTTCATGGCTTTTGTATCACTGAAAATACAAGTCATCTCAAGGGTTACTGTGCTTCCATAACTGGAATCTAGTTAAACCTCCCTCTCCTCCTCCCCATTACAGTTCAACAACAACAACTTGCATTCATATAGCGCCCTTCACGGCGGGTCGAGTCCCGGTGCGCTTAACAGTGGCGGAGTCTGACCCTGAGCCAGGGCAAGAGGGAGGGCCGAAGAGACCCTAAGCACAATCAAAAAGGAAGATCTTTAGGCAGGAAACCTTGTACAAAATCACTCACCTCCAGTAAAGAATTCCAGTGCTTTTCTGTAAGATCCTCCTTTAAAATTGCTGATGAAAGAAAACGTTCCGATAGTGTCGGTCATGTCTGCAAGGTGTTTTCTTAATGTTTGTTCAATCTTCTGGTGTAAAGATTTTGATACATTCTCTCTAAATTTGAGAAGACCGCCATAGGATAATATTTGTAAGTGGAACTCGATGCATCCTGACGTGATCTTCAAAAGTTGGCCCTCTAGACCATGGAATATGCTTATAATATCTAAACGGAGCGTGTTGTCGTCACTGAGCATACGCATAAGCAAGTCATCAATTTCCAGAGCTGCTTTTTTCTGGCCAGAAATTGTGGTTGTTACAAACTTTCGCACGTGTTTACATTTAATTGTGCATTCTGTGGGTGACAGGAGAGATAATCATTGAAAGAGAGCTACCAAGAGGAGAGTGCTGATTCACACACAGACGATTACAATACAATAAAATTCAAAATTACGTTTGTGCAGCGCCTTTCACTTCGGGAAGATGTCCCAAGGCGCTGGACAGTCAGGGATTTGGATCCTAGCTGGGTGTTGGGATCGGACGGATGGGGGCAGGGAGGGCAGGAGGGTGGCCGAAGGCTCGATCGAAGAGGAAGGTTTTGAGACGCACCTTGAAGAAAGCAAGGGAGGGTGCGAGGCAAAGGGAATGTGGGATGGAGTTCCAATGGGTGAGGGCAGAAAGGCTGAAGACCTGACTGCCAATGGTGGGGCAGCCCGGGCAAGGGATGTTGTGCACCTTCTGTCTACTGTTCACCCACAAAATATAGAATCAATTCACTTTACAGTATGTTTTGTAAAGCGCTTTGAGACATTTCAAAGATATTATCAGGTGCTACACTAAATGCAAGGAATTTAGTTGGGAAAGAACAAAAGATAAGAGGACGTTTGGAATGGGGTAAAAATTGCCAATTATGTTGTGTTAATTAAGACTGATATTAACTTGCACATTACAATAATCCTTGCATTTTCACATAGGGAAAGTGCTTCACAAGATTTACTGTAAAGTGTAGCGACTGTGTATTTTGTAGGCAAAGACATCTAGAACATTAACCTTTCCTCTTTCAAATCCTGATTGACCTGATCTAACGGGCCCTACCACGCTGTGTGTCCCAATAGATAGTTTTCACATCACATGCTTGTTAGAAAGGCTTGAGTAAAGAGACAAGTGAGTTTCTCCTGGTGCCTGGCTGACAATCACTCCTGAGAAAATTGGTCATTTTCTTTATTTTGTAGGTGAGCACTACAGTTAATTTGCGCACAGCAACAATATATTTCGCCTCTCCGTGCTGTTATGCTGCACTTAATATGGTGACGAATCATTAGCTGATGTGCTGTGTGCAAATCAACTGTAGTGTTCACCTACAAAATGCATAGCCAGTATACTTTTCAGTACTGAAAAAAATTCTGTGAAGTACTTTGAGACATCCTCCCAACTTGAAAGGCACTCTATCAAATGCAAGGGTTATTATTATGAGAGAAATTATCTTCAGGTGAATTACTCACCATATCCTTTGGGTACGGGGGAAGAGACGAGAATGGTTTTATCTGAGGGTGGAAGAGAAAGAAAAAGTAAACTTAAACCTGAAAGTATTTGTTGTCAACAAAATATTGAATATCTCTGACATTAAACCCTCAGAAATATTACCCACATTGTGTTCAGTCATTTGCATTGACCATTGTAAGAAGACTTTTAAAGTGATTTTCCACCCGTCACGAACTCTACACACTTTGAAGGTGAGAACATTTAGAATATAGTAACAAAATAGTAATTTGTATCGTAACAAAATAGTAATTTTAGGCAGTAATATACCGTGGGTCCATTCTACCCTATCTATGAGGCCTTCAGTGGACTACCCAGTATACGGTGTCCACAAAGACCTGTCACCCCATGTTTTTTTTCTGCAGTGCACTGACTGACAACTGAAACATGTGGAAAAATGCTATTTGTATTTAGAAATGCTTAATTGTATTTCGTACAAGTGTTTAACTGTATTTAGATGTCCAGATGTCTGGAGGATCGGTGTGAGTGCCATCATTTTCATATCAGATTATGATTTGTCACCATATTCAGTGCAGCACAAAACCATGGAGTGACAAAATATATTTCTGACAGCTCCTTCGTAGTCTCATATCACTGTTTTGTAAGTGGGTGGGGGTGGGGGGGTAAGAAGATTTTGTGGACTGTAGATATTTTGAAACAGGTAATGTTATACTCTGTCTACATTATAGGCAATGTGATATAGTTATAATGTGTTTCGCTATAGCATGTTACAAGGGATGTGGATCCCAACATCCAACAAGTGGATGTGCTGCGAATGTGCACAGTGAGTGCGGAAATGTTGACCAGGAATTGCAGCCCCGTTATAACACTGACAGGGTCGGACACTGGGCAGACAAGAATGGGGAGAGGGAGTTGGCTATTGGTTCTCAGACAGGATGTAAAGATAAATAGAGAGGGTAGAGGGAGGAAGTTCCAGTGGTTAGGAGTGTAGTTGTATCATTTCTTCACAGAGAAGGAAAGGAGTGATGTGAGTCTTGTTAATCACGCAGGTAACAGAATACCATTCCAGACGTGTCAATCCATCCAACAGAGACATCGTCACTCACATCAGGCTTCTACACACTCAACAGACTGAAGTTCTCTTACCTTCACAGAGGTTACATTGGCACTTGCAGAAGATTGATTGGCAGCACTTGCACCTCATATCTATGTGAAAAGAGACAGGTTTAGATCTTTAGCATTTCAAGTAGAGTTTTGTAAAGTTCTGATGTTTGGAAATGTGCAAATATAAGGTTTATGTGCAAAGGCACAGCCAGAAAATAATACAATGTTCATTTATATAGCGCCTTTGACGTCAGGAGGCTGTCTCAAAGCACTGTGCTCTGTGCCCTTTTTTTGCTCAGCGGCCGGGAGGGTGGCTGATATATGCAGAAAACCATCACCATGCTTAAGAGTAGTCAAACCAGACTGAGATGTCTGAGTCTGTACACTACCAACACCTGGAAGTGTCCCTGTGTCTGGAATGGAATGCAAGAGCCAATGCTTGGGTTAACTCCCAGAGTGTGCATTAAAGTACTCCTGGAGCCTTAACCAACTAAAATGGCATTGCTTGTCCAGACTCCCACTGCTTGTCCAGCTAAAAGAGATTTGGCTTGCAGGGTTAACAACAACAATAAATTATATTTGTATAGCGCCTTTCACATCAGGAGGACGTCCCAAGGGGCTGGACAGTCAACGATCCACACCTGAGCTGGTGGCTGGTATCATAAGGAGTGGAGGGCGGGGAGGGTAGGATAGGAGGGTGATCAAAGGCATGGTCGAAGAGGAGGGTCTTGAGATGGGTTTTGAAGGAGGCAAGGGAGGGGACGAGGTGTAGGGGCTCTGGGATGGAGTTCCAGAGGTTGGGGGCAGAGAGGCTGAAGGCACACCCGCCAATGGTGGGGCAGGCAAAGCGGGGGACATGAAGCAGGCCAGAGCCCGCTGAACGAAGGGAGTGGAAAAGTTGGTAGAGGGTTGGGAGGTCACAGAGGTAGGGAGGAGCGAGGCCGTGGAGGGCCTTGAAGGTAACAGGAGCTGAGTGAGAAGCTGCTCCTCCAAGTTCTGCCAATGAGCCAAGTCTGCTGGCTGATCCATCGGCAGTGCCCTGGAGTATTACTGACACATCGGGCTCAGGCACTGGACTACGAGACAGAGCGTTGAGTTTATTACAATAATCTGCTGCCTTAGAGTCAGCTCAGCTCCATGGAGACCCCACTTACCCCCCCAACCCCCCCACCCCTCAAAGGTCACTAACAACAACAGCAAGATTGCATTTATAGAGCGCCTTTCACGTCGGGAGGACGTTCCAAGGCGCTGGACAGTTGGGTCGGGACCCGAGCAGGGGGGAAATGGTCAGGGTGAGGGGAGGGAGGGAGCGAGGAGGGGGGAAATGGTCAGGGTGAGGGGAGGGAAGGGAGGGAGCGAGGAGGGTGTAGAGAGTCGAGAGCGGAGCTGAAGGCACGGTCAAAGAGAAAGGTCTTGAGACCGGCCTTGAAGGAGGAAAGGGAGGAGGCGGCGAAGGCACTGGGGATAGAGTTCCAGAGCCTCGGGGCTGAGAGGCTGAAGGCCCGGCCACCGATGGTAGGGCGGTTGGGGCGGGAGATGTGAAGCAGACCGGAGCCAGAGGAGCGGAGGTACGGGCAGGTAGTAGGGGATAGTAGGTCGGAGAGGTAGGAGGGAGCAAGGCCGTGAATGGCTTTGTAGGTGAGGATGAGGATCTTGAATTCGATCCTCTGGGGGATGGGGAGCCAGTGGAGGCGAGCGAGGGTGGGAGTGATGTGCCCCTCTTACTGAGAAAATGTAAAAAGAGGAAATTATCTTTACAAACAAATCGCTCACTAGATCCACTGGTTGCAGGAGACGATTTATCTGGGGCCAAAAGAACATAAAAAAATCTTTAAATATTTTGTTTGCAATAAATCTACTTATTTACTTTGTTTACTTTGAAAGTTTAACTGTTTTCTTGTAACTCAAAATTCTGCGTGTCAAAATAAGACAGTTCCAAGTGCTGAACACCTAACTGGCGCCAATCAGAGCCCAATTTCTCTGCCAAATCCATTAGTTGCTTATCCGTTCTTAATATGTTAAAATCTGAAAAAGTAAAGAACAAAATGTCCGCTCTGTTTAAGTCATCTTATACCATCAAAAATTACCTGTTAAATCGTTGTTCGGAGAGAGAGATTTCCATGCATCCACGTCAACATCGGCCTCACGGAGAATTTTGATGAGATTCCACACTGTTGCTTTCTCTTTTTCTCGGCATCTCCAAATGTATAACATCTTAAATATAATGTCTGTTTGGGTTTTTTCTTGCGACTCAAAATTCTGTGTGTCAGCAAAAGACATTCCCAAGTACTGAATACCTAACTGCCGCCAATCAGAGCCCAGTTTCCCTGCCAGTTCCATCAGTTGCTTTTCCGTTATTAATGTTTTAAGATCTGAAAAAGTAAAGAACAAAATGCAATAATAATAACATTAATAATTTTTGCATTCGATACAGCGCCTTAGCATGTTGTCGAGACATTTCAAAGCGCCTAACGGGGTTTTACTCTAAAGTGCCGTGACTCATAGGCAAATATACAGTGATGTCCTGCACACAGTCTTGAAGTGATTGAGCAATTTTATCAGGGGATTATTGGCCAGGACACCAAAAGAAACTCTTTTGGTGTCCTGGCCTATCTTTTCATGTTGTTCCATTGGATTTTTAAAGTCCACCTGAATGTGTAGACAGCACCTTGGATTAACATCTCATCTGAAGGACAACATTTCTAACGATGCAGTGCACCCCAGGTTCTGCGCTGTATGTCAACCTGGACTGTGAGTTCAAAAGCCTGTGGTGGGGCTTGAACCCACAACCTTCTGACTCGTAGGCGAGCATGCTAACAACTGAGCCAGGCTGATAATTCTCTTCCCCTCTCCCCCTACAGTAGAGCTGTGTTTACAGTATACTGGCGCTCTCCATTAAATAGTAGCGCTATATGTATAATGATCTTACCAGAGGTGTCCCTGTCCTGAGTTGGTTTTACCATGATGTTAATGTTACAATGACTTTCGGCTTTAGGCCTTGAGAGAGAAGAGAGAACATGAAAAATGTGATGGATGGTTTAGAACATCGCGGAGATCGGGGTCATATCCAGCCGTGTCTGATGGGAATTCGCATCATACCGATCCGATGGGATGACAATCAGGTGGGGAAAGATGAGGTCAAATTGGTTCATCCAAACCAACCTTGTGATCCTTAATATGTCTCCAATTTCCGAGGAGACTCCCCGTATGAGATATTGTATCACTGGGGCCAAATTTGCCCTGTCTTGAATTCAGCAATAAACTGAGCAAGAACAATAAAATTCTCAAACAGATGCACTCATCAACGAAATACACCCATTAATCCAACACACTTCTCCAGTAACCGTCAGCATCAGGAATTGCGGTGAGTTAAATTTTTTTTCCATAGTGTGTCGCCAGATTTGGTTTACAAAATGTGGCCATCCTATAATAATAGAGAAAGTGGAGCAATGTCACAACAACAACAGCAACAACTTGGATTTACATAGCGCCCTCCACGCCGGACGGCGTCTCAGAGCGCTTCACAGTAACGGATCCCGGGGCCAAGCCAGGGGGAGGGGGAGGAAGGTGACCAAAGGCGCGGTCGAAAAGAAAGGTCTTCAGCAGAGACCTGAAAATCGGAAGAGAGGGAGCGAGGCGAAGGGAGTGAGGAAGGGAGTTCCAGAGCCTCGGGGCATAGTGGCTGAAGGCACGGCCGCCGAGGGTGGAGCGGAGCACTCGGGGGACGAGGGGGAGGCCAGACCCAGAGATCACACCAACAGATGGCAACTCTGCTCAGTCACGATCTGTCTTTGTGAATCGGCGTGTAACACGTCTGGTTACAACGAGGAATCCTTGCTTGTCTTTCTTATGAAGGAAGACAGGTTAGACACTGAGCAAGGGAGTGGGGAAGGGGAGGTGATGATAGGTGCGGTCGAAGAGGTGGTCTTCAAGTGGAATTTTAAACATAGATAAAGAGGGCGTGAGGTTGAGGGATAACAGATAATTCCCCTACATCAGTGACAGTGTATGCTTACAAGGTTACAGTTTCATTCTGAGCAAGTGACCGTCTTGTTGCAATATGTAAATATTAGTCAAAACAAGCTCCAAGATAGGATTTGGAGTGAGAAACAGGTCTCTAGAGTAATAATACTATTACTGATGTGAGCAAGCAAGCCATATTTGGTCCTTTACTGTACGTGCATCAATAGCCTCATTTGCCGAACCGTCCACAGACATTTCATCCAAAAAAGGGTACTTACTGGGCGTGAGCTGTGGACTATTTCCTAAGCACAAAAGCACAGAACTTGCTCCTCAAAGCTTCACTAAGTATCCACCGAAGACATTTGTTGGCCCAACATTCTTTGGTCAGTGAATCAAATAATAAATAACGACTCTCATTTCAGTTTGCACTTTCGGTTTCATTTTCTTGAATGATGTGATCAGTCCAGGTTAAGCAGATTGTTTTTTTTTCCCGCCCTCGGCCAAATAGGCTTCTCGGTTGTGAGCTATTCGAACCCTTCCCGCCCTTAACTGAGAGGCACAGACTGCACTCCGAACCCCTGAGGTCAGCTCAGTCAGAACAGTCTGAGCAGCTCATAACGGAAGTGTGTGGGTTTCCTGAAAGAAATAAATCAAATAGGACCAGTGCGTTCTTCGTATTGACCAATCTTACAATAATAATAATAATAATAGCATTTGATATCGCGCTTTTCACGTCGGGAGGACGTCCCAAAGCGCTTCACAGAACACACAGTAAAGTGAATTGACTGTATATTTGTGGGCGAACGCGGCAGCCAATCGCGCACAGCGATGTCCCACAAACAGTCGTAGATTGAAAATGACCAATTTTATTATTGTTTTGTTTCGGAGGGTTTATTATTAGGCTCTGTGTGGAGTAAGGAAACTTGCCCGAGGTTTGGCCCTGAGCTGCCGGGTATCGAACCCGGGTCTCTCACTCGCGGGACCGAGGGCTCTAACCACTGAGCTACAGGACTCCTGGTGGATGGGGGAGGGGGAGGGGCTGTGGTGATGGACAGGGGAGGGGGAGGGGCTGTGGTGATGGACTGGGGAGGGGGCGGGGCTGTGGTGATGGACTGGGGAGGGGGTGGGGCTGTGGTGATGGACTGGGGAGGGGGCGGGGCTGTGGTGATGGACAGGGGAGGGGGAGGGGCTGTGGTGATGGACGGGGGAGGGGGCGGAGCTGTGGTGATGGACAGGGGAGGGGGCGGGGCTGTGGTGATGGACAGGGGAGGGGAGGGGCTGTGGTGATGGACAGGGGAGGGGGAGGGGCTGTGGTGATGGACTGGGGAGGGGGCGGGGCTGTAGTGATGGACTGGGGAGGGGGTGGGGCTGTGGTGATGGACTGGGGAGGGGGCGGGGCTGTGGTGATGGACAGGGGAGGGGGGAGGGGGCTGTGGTGATGGACTGGGGAGGGGGCGGAGCTGTGGTGATGGACAGGGGAGGGGGAGGGGCTGTGGTGATGGGTGGGGAGGGGGAGGGGCTGTGGTGATGGACTTGGGAGGGGGAGGGGCTGTGCTGATGGACAGGGGAGGGGGAGGGGCTGTGGTGATGGACTGGGGAGGGGGCGGGGCTGTGGTGATGGACAGGGGAGGGGGAGGGGCTGTGGTGATGGACAGGGGAGGGGGAGGGGCTGTGGTGATGGACAGGGGAGGGGGAGGGGCTGTGGTGATGGACTGGGGAGGGGGAGGGGCTGTGGTGATGGACAGGGGAGGGGGAGGGGCTGTGGTGATGGGTGGGGAGGGGGAGGGGCTGTGGTGATGGACTTGGGAGGGGGAGGGGCTGTGCTGATGGACAGGGGAGGGGAGGGGCTGTGGTGATGGACTGGGGAGGGGGCGGGGCTGTGGTGATGGACAGGGGAGGGGGAGGGGCTGTGGTGATGGACTGGGGAGGGGGAGGGGCTGTGGTGATGGACAGGGGAGGGGGAGGGGCTGTGGTGATGGACTGGGGAGGGGGAGGGCTGTGGTGATGGACTGGGAGGGGGAGGGGCTGTGGTGATGGACAGGGGAGGGGGAGGGGCTGTGGTGATGGACTGGGGAGGGGGGAGGGGCTGTGGTGATGGACAGGGGAGGGGAGGGGCTGTGGTGATGGACTGGGGAGGGGGCGGGGCTGTGGTGATGGACTGGGGAGGGGGGGGGCTGTGGTGATGGACTGGGGAGGGGGCGGGGCTGTGGTGATGGACAGGGAGGGGGGGGCTGTGGTGATGGACTGGGGAGGGGCGGGGCTGTGGTGATGGACAGGGGAGGGGGAGGGGCTGTGGTGATGGGTGGGGAGGGGGAGGGGCTGTGGTGATGGATTGGGAGGGGAGGGGCTGTGCTGATGGACAGGGGAGGGGGAGGGGCTGTGGTGATGGACTGGGGAGGGGCGGGGCTGTGGTGATGGACAGGGGAGGGGAGGGGCTGTGGTGATGGACAGGGGAGGGGGAGGGGCTGTGGTGATGGACAGGGGAGGGGGAGGGGCTGTGGTGATGGACTGGGGAGGGGGAGGGCTGTGGTGATGGACAGGGGAGGGGGAGGGGCTGTGGTGATGGGTGGGGAGGGGGAGGGGCTGTGGTGATGGACTTGGGAGGGGAGGGGCTGTGCTGATGGACAGGGGAGGGGGAGGGGCTGTGGTGATGGACTGGGGAGGGGGCGGGGCTGTGGTGATGGACAGGGGAGGGGGAGGGGCTGTGGTGATGGACAGGGGGGGGAGGGGCTGTGGTGATGGACTGGGGAGGGGGCGGGGCTGTGGTGATGGACAGGGGAGGGGGAGGGGCTGCGGTGATGGACGGGTGAGGGGGCGGAGTTGTGGTGACAGACTGGGCGGGGCCCCAGCCTGAGGCTGCTCCTGACTGGACGAGGCTGGTAGAGGGCGTGGCCAGCACTGCGCGCCGGCGCTGCGTGATGACGCAAAATGCTGTGGTGACGCAGCGCGCGGCGGGTGGAGAGAGACGGCGACGAGCGGAGGGGGAGGAGGAGGTTACAGTGTGGAGAGGAGAGAGAGAGTGAGTGAGTGAGAGATAGAGGGAGTGAGTGTGTGAGACAGAGGGAGAGAGTGAGTGTGAGAGACAAACAGAGAGAGAGAGAGTGTGAAAGTGACAAACAGAGAGAGAGTGAGTGTGAGAGACAAACACAGAGAGAGAGTGAGTGAGTGAGAGATAGAGAGAGAGAGGGAGTGAGTGTGTGAGACAAACAGAGAGAGAGAGAGTGTGAGAGACAAACACAGAGAGAGTGAGTGTGTGAGAGACAAACGGAGAGAGAGAATGTGAGAGAGAGACACACTACACACACACACACACAGAGTGAGAAGGCCACCCACAGAGTCACATAGAGTGACAGAGAGAGTGACTGACGGACGGAGGTGGGGGTGTCACAGAGTGAGAGGGGGTTCGAAGAGGGAGACGCACAGAGTTGAGAAAGAAGGATTGGAGAGTAACCGTCGGACGGAGAAACTGGTCACAGAGCGAGGGACGGAGAGAGAGAGAGAGCGAGAGAGAGAGAGAGAGAGAGAGAGAGAGGGGCTTTTGTTGGTATTTTAATTAGGATTTACAGTATTTAGGGGCTTCAGAGTTTAGGGTCATGCGGGGGCTGCGGTGACACACAGGCGACCGACAGTCAGGGGGGACAGTATGGGGGGGGGAGAAGGGGTCATTTCAGATGATGTTTAAATAAACTTCAAGCCGGTCGCGCTTCCCACACAAAACTCCCCTCTTCTTTTCCCGAACTCGTTTGCGATTTGTTTTTCCGCTCTCTTTGGGACGGCCTCCGACGTTGAAGGGCCTCCGACGTGAAGGGCGTCGCGCAAACGCAATTTGTTGTTTGCTTTTTCAGCAAAGATTGAATTAATGAGCAAAAAGCGAGGCCGGTGTGAAGGAAGGGGTTGATTTTACCGCTGGGGGAAGGTTTGGGGGGGGGCGTCTAAAAAATTTAAGAAGCCAAGACTGATCCAGAAACACTTTGGAAACGAAAGGCTGATTTATTCAAGCCTTTAAATGTAAAGTGGATAATCTACAATCTGGGTGTAATATAGGCATTGTTGAGGTAATTTGGTAAAAATACATTTATGTGTATTGTACAGTTGCTGTGGTACAACGCAATACAAATTCACATTTATATAGCAGCTAAACAACACCAATGTCACTCGGCCCGGTCCGCACTCCCTCCCTATCTTTCAAGCCGGCCTTAAGACTCATCTTTTCGACTGTGCTTTCGGTCACCCGCCCTCTCCCTCCTCGTTCCCACCAACAACTCAAAACGCTAAGCCAAGAATGTTAATCACCTCGGAATGTTCTCCCGAGTTTAAGGCCGGCTTTAAAGGTGGGGAGGGAGCGTGGACCAGGCTGAGTGGTGGCACTGGGTTGGAGTTCCGCCGGGTTGGGGGTGGGTGGGGCAGGTTAGCTGAGTAAACCGAAGAAAGACTTAAGTTACCGTGCAAAACTGTTTTATCTTGCAGAGATTCGTTCAGAGGCACAGTGTGTGGGGATCGGAGTGAAGGACGGTTAGGAGCAGGATGTGTGGGCGCACAGCATGCACCCTGGCTCCCGAGGAGATCGCCCGAGCCTGCGCCTTTCGGGACAAACTCGGGAGGCGGAGGAATCCCGACTGGAGAGACGGAGATCAGGATAAGTACCGACCCTCGTTCAACAAATGCCCACAGTCCAACAGTCCGGTCTTGGTGTCCAGGAAGCACTTTGAGAAAGTAATTATTTGTGTGTCACTTTTTAACCTTTCGAAAGTTATTCTGAGGAGAGAATCCCAGCTCTGTGGAGGTCTTCTTTGCCTTCCTTGCCCTGCTCCCCCCTCCCCCCCCTCAGCTTGTCCTTAAAAACCTCTCCCTCTCAATGTGCCCAAGTTCTGACGAAGGGTCGTGGACCCGAACTGTTGACTCACTTTCCTTTCTCCATAGATGCTGCCCGACCTGCTGAGTTTTTCCAGCTCTCTCTTGTTTTTGTTTCAGATTTCCAGCATCTGTAATATTTTGTGTTTGGATTATTATTATTATTACTGTCATCTCCCACCCCACTCCCCTCCCACCCTGCTCGAGTTCCATCTCCGTAAAGCGTTTTGAGACACCAAGTTTTTGTAAGAGACAAATCCCTTATCATCCCTTCAGTCCCTCGTCATTTTTGTATTTCAAAGAATTTGGAAGTGAAGTTATTCCCTGGATCAAAACAAAAATAGAAGTCGCTGGGAACACTCAGCAGATCAGGCAGCATCGATGGAGAAAGGAAAGTGAGTCAACGTTTTGGGTCCACGACCCTTTATCAGAATTGGGGCACGTTGGGAGAGAGAGGCTTTTAACGACTAACAGATAGGGGAGAGGACAGGAAATGATGGGTTAAAGAGGTGTTAATAATGCAAAATAAAGGAGGGGGTGGTGGCAACAACACGGTGTTAATAATGCAAAACAAATAGTGGAGGGGGGAATTGCAACACAACAGGCAGACCAGAGAGAGAAAAGGTATGTCTGGGTCCCAGATGATGTGGTAATGGTCACAGAAGAGGGGGAAGGTGAGCTGTTATGGCCTGAAGTTACTGAAATCGATATTGAGGCCAGTGGGCTGTAAGGTCCCTAACAGATAAATGAGGTGCTGTTCACAACACCAACCACAACAAGATTGCATTTGTAATTGGAACAGAGTAGGAGACCGTGGATGGAGAGGTCAGAGTGCGAGTGGGAGGGAGAGTAGAAGTGACAAGAAACCGGAAGCTCAGGGTTGTGCTTGCGGACAGAACGGAGGAATTCGGCAAATCGCTCACCCAATCTGCGTTTGATCTCCCCAATGTAGAGGAAACGACATCGTGAGCAGCGTTCTGTTGCAATTCCCCCCTTTGCTTTGCATTATTAACATCTCTTTAACCCATCATCCCCTGTCCTCTGCCCCATTTTCTCCGTTGTCCTCTTTGCTCTGCCTCCCCTCTCTCTGTTAGCCCCGGTTCTGACGAAGGGTTGAGGATCCGAAATGTTTTGACTCACTTTCCTTTCTCCATAGATGCTGCCTGACCTGCTGAGTGTTCCCAGCGACGTCTGTTTTTGTTTCAGATTTCCAGCATCTGCAGCATTTTGCGTTTCGTTTATTCCCTGGATGCTTATTTGGAGGTTTAAGGGGTTGTTTTCTAATGGGCTGTTTGTTTGTGTCGGACGTTTGACAGGACGCAGACAGCGCTGAGCCTGTCCTCACCGCCATGCGCTGGGGTCTCGTCCCCTCCTGGTTTCGGGAAAGTGACCCATCCAAAATGCCGTACAGCACCAGCAACTGCCGGAGTGAGGGCATGACCCAGAAGAAATCATACAAGGTACAGAGTCACAGCCCGTGGAGTGACACTGAGGGGAGGGAGAGGGGGGCTGGGGTCAGGCCCTTTTGGAGGTGTAATAGTCAGCGGATTAGTGTGCGTGTGTGTTGGGGTGGGGGGGCTCTTAGCTTCCTGTATGATTCTCTGGTCACTACATGCAGTATATAGTTTGGGACTTGACATGTGCAAGCGACTGCTAGGATGGTGGAAGGCGAAATGGATGGACCTTGGCCTTCTTTCGTCTAGCAACTCTTATGTTCTTATGCTGTAAGTATCGGTGACAGTTCTGATGTCCTCTCCGGCAGGAGCCGCTCTTTAAGGGGCAGCGTTGTGTGGTGTTGGCCGATGGGTTCTACGAGTGGAAGAAACAAACTGGGCAGAAACAGCCGTATTTCATCTACTTCCCGCAGAGCTGCAAGAAAGAGGAGGTCAGATTCCAGGTGCTAATGTAACCTGTAGGTGTCTGTCCAAAGCAGAGACAGCTTCTCTAACAATCCGCATATAAGCAAGTCAAGCTAGGAACTCCCGAGAGAACGTTCTAACAAAATCCTCCCGGAGAACCACCCACCAATCTTCACAAGTAAGGTAGATTTAGAGAGACTAATGGATTAGATCACAAAAGAGATTTGGTTGAAGAAGCACCTGCGATCTCATCCTTCCAAAGTTCCCACACTACCTCCCTCCTATCATAGCGTTCAGCTGTATTTTACATGGGTCCCAGGGCCTCATACTCCCTGGCAACCTGTTCTAGTCATCAGGTACCCTCTTGGTAAAGGACATACTTCGTTGTTCTTGGTTGACTGTCTCAATCCCGTTTAGATTTGTGTAGGTAACAACGACAACTTGCATTTATATAGCGCCCCTCACACAGGGTAGCGTCCTAGAGCGCTTGACAGTGGCAGAGGATGACGCAGAGCAAATGGGAGGGGGAGGTGATAGTGGGCACAGTTGAAGAGGAAGGTCTTGAGGCGTGACCTGAAGATGGGCAAGGAGGGGCAAGGCAGAGGGATGGAGGAATAGTGTTCCAGAGTTTCAGGGCGTAGTGGCTGAAAGTGCGGCCACTAATGGTGAAACCGAGGGCTCGAGGGACAAGCGGGAGGCCAGAACCAGTTGAGCAGAGTCGGTGGGTAGTGTGAGTGCCCGTGACTCAGTGCCCACCGGTGACCTGCTGATGTTGTTGGTTTAGACGGATGGTGAGGATGAGCCCGAGGAGTGGCAGGGCTGGCGTATGCTGACCATGGCCGGACTGTTTGACTCTTGGCAGCCACCAAACGGAGGGGAACCACTTTACACCTACACTGTCATCACAGTGGATGCTTCGAAAGCAATGGATTGTGTACACGACAGGTCTGTGGAGCAAATAATAATAATAATAATTCTTACATTTGATATAGTGCCTTAACATCTCTTCGAATCGTCTCAATGCACTTCATATAACACACTGCAGAGTGAATTGACTGTATTTTGTGGGCAAAACCCTTGAAGGTTTGATTTTTAAGGCAGCAGATGGAACAGGATTTTCTTGTTAAACGTCTGAGATTAAAACCTACTTTCCAATTACAATTTACATCTGTAATTGCCAAAAATGCATTTGCTTTATAATTTATTTCGTATTTAATCTTTCAATGTTAGGATTGTTAATATTCAATCGCTTACATTTGCATAATAATAATTCTCAGCAATAATAATAATTTTTTAGCACGTTATCACATAATTGGAATGCCTCATAGTGCTTTATAGGAGTTACTGTAAAGTGTGGAGATTATATGTTCATGGCCAAATGTAGCAGCCAATTTACACAGAGCATCATCCCTCCAACAGCCATGAAGTGAATGATAGCATTTATCTAGTGGATTGTTGGCCAGGATATGGGGAGAAACTCCCTCTGCTTTTCGAATAGCACTGGGGAATTTTTAAACCTCCGACACTGCAGCACTCCCCCAGCATTGTATTGGAACGTCAGTCTAGACTGTGAGCTCAAAATCGCAACCTGGGGTTTGAACCTACAACCTTCTGGCTCTGAGGCGAGAGTGCTACCAAATGAGCCTGTTAATGAAAGTGAAGCGGGAGGTTTTACAGTTCATTTCTCCGTTTGCCGCAGGATGCCTGCTATCCTGGACGGGGACGACGCCGTCAGGAAGTGGCTGGATTACGGAGAGGTTCCCGTGAAGGAGGCTGTGAAACTGATTGAACCAACGGAGAACATCTCCCTTCACCCAGTCTCCACCGTAGTCAACAACTCCAGGAACAACCTTCCCGAGTGCATTAAGCCCATAGAGCTGGGAGTTAAAAAGGTGAGATTTCTATTGAAATAATGTATGTTTAAGATCATTACACTATTAAAATGCCCAAAGCGCATTAACTATCAATAATAATCTTTGCGATTTGATATAGCCTTTCATGGTGGGTGGCAGTCTTAAAGCGCTTCACAGGATTCCCTGTAAAGTGCAGTGACTGTATTTTATAGATCGCAGCAGCCAGTTTACGCATGTTTAGTCCTGTTAGGGCCTTGTCTTGCAGCAGAGAGCAAGTCAACTGAACCGAGGCTCTAAGCTGCACTGAAGCTAGATTTTCCGATCAAACTGCGGCGCAGTGTCGTATTGCTTGGCAGTTGTGGGCAGTGTGGAACATTTTGTCTTTCTGACTGATGTGTAAGACTTTAAGCCCCTGTGTGATTTGATCCGCCAGGAAGCCAAGCCAACTCCAAGCAGTCAAATGATGATGAATTGGCTGAAGAACGGCTCCCCCGTAAAACAAGAGAAATCCCAGTCTGCCGAGGCCGAAAGTCCGAAGAAAAGCAGCGTGGGTTTGATGCAGATGTGGCTGAAAAAATCGGAGGAACCTGAAGCGAAGAAACCACGGACAGCGTGAGGTATGGAGGAGAGCTGGTCTGGCCGCTCAGCTTATTTATCATATGTTTAAAGAACAATGTAAACTTGTTGGAGTTTGGAGAGATGTGGTGCTCGCTGTTATCGGGCTGATAGAGAGTTGCTTACTTGCATTTTGTTAAAATATTCTCTTGGGAGTCGTAGCTTGGCTTTCTGGACTGTTGCTTATAAATGGATTGTTAATTGTTACAGAAACGGTCTCTGCTTTGGGCAAACACATTCAGGTTAAAGTTATTTTCTTGCCAGCGATTGTGCGCGGAACATATTTGCACCCCTGTACTGATGAGCATTACTGCAGTTGCATTGCATTCCAAATAAATCTACCCTCGAACCTTGAGCGAGCAGTAAATCTATTCCGTGCATTGGGCATTTTAAAGTTGGAGGTGAATTGGTCGACAAAAGATCCGTAAACGAAGATCACAAGATCAGCTTCGATGAAGTAGGTTCGATCCATTTAATCACTTCCGGAATCTCCAACCCCTCACGCACCCACTATAAGAGTATCAAGGGATTTGGAGCAAAGGTGGGTAATTGGAGTGGAGGAAGAGATTAGCCAGGGGCTGAATGGCCTACACCTGTTCCTATGTACAGCATTGCGCTGTTTTATTAAATGAGTCACAGCATCCTGACCTCAAGTCCCCTTCCCGGTAACCCTGGGCATTAACTAACGGGAGTTGCAGTCTTCTGTAAATTAATCTGAAGAACCCAGCGGAAGGCGTAGGACGAGTCGGTGCAGAATTCAGTGTGTTGCTTTGCTAATCAGACATTCAGGAGCAGAGCAAGAGAAATTACATTTAAATTCTAACCCTTGTAGGCTTCAATTCAGATTACGCTTATTAAATGTCTGCTCCCAACTGCAAAAAACATTCACTCGCTTCCGATCAATTCTCTGGTATTCAACGGAAATGTCAGTTGCTTGTTCCTTGAAACAATCTTATTTCCTATACGACCTAAAAAGGAGGGTTTTGAGACAGACACGTAAAGTGGTGAAGCAAAGGTTTAAAAACTATTACTGAAGACTGTTTTGATGTTTGGTGATATTGTAGAGGCACAAACTCAGAGAGTTTGCGAAAGGTGTATGCTTTACGGGATGAAATTGAAGTGGTATAGCTGATCGGGGAAGGGGGTGCGTGAGCTGATGTTATTAGGTGCGACAAGCAGGTTTAATTCGGACACTAAAGCCCATTCTCTAGAGCTCTTGCAAAATAATGATATAATAATCCTTGCATTTGATATAGCGCCTTATCACGTCTTTGAGACGTCTCAAAGCGCTGCAAAGTGAATTGACTATTTTGTAGGCGGAATGCAGCAGCCAATTGCGCACAGCAGTATCCCACAAAGTCGTGCATTTCTTATTTTTTTTTGAAGGATTAACCTTCTGCTCACTTCTCTCCCCGTCTTCAAAACCCCCTTTAAAATGCATCTCTTTGACAATACCTTCCAGCGATCCCCTCAATTCCCATTCATCTTCATGAAGTTCTTTTAAGACGTTTTTCCTGTGAGAAAGGAGCTTTATAAGTTTATCGGCGATAAACCCGTTCAGTTTACGACAGTTCCACGTTGATCTGAGGAATGCTTTCACTAGCTTTTTAATCTTACGAGTTTGAGATGATTTAGCTCCCGTGTGGTGCAGGGAGAGACACTAATTATATCTCCTGCAGGATCTCTCCCTGGGTTTGTGATTCTCTCTATGGAGCAGTCAGCATGTGAAAATTGTTCCAAACTGGATAAAAAGAAACCTGTGAACTGTGCTGATTTAGGAAGAGATCTGATTGCTATGCAGTGAGGAAGGGTGTTGATGGTGAAAATATTCCAAGAATATATTTGTTTGCTCTTGTAGAGCGATAGCCACCTGCTGTTAAAATCACGCTTCCCAAAGACTAGTGCTCGTCACATTGCCATCTATTATTGATGCAAAAAATGCTTTTATATTTGGAGGAAAAGAAACATGCTTTAGGTTATGCATTCAGTAGATCTTTCTTTGACTGGAGCTTGTCAGCATAGACACAGCAGGACTCGCCTGATCAGTCAACTCAACCTCTGCTCAGCTTCTCACCAATACGCCTTAGGATGGTGACGGGTTGAAGGAATCACTCGCCAACATATTAGAGCCAGTTTGGAAAGAGCTGCAGATAATCCACAGCTCCATACCCGCCAGAAATTAAACATTGAGAAATCACAGGCAAATGTCAGGAGAGGTGACCATATGTACAAGTTAAGAACATAAACCAGAAAGTAATCTTTGGCATGTCAGCCTCATTATAAAACCTGGATCATTGTTGCAGGCAGCACACAGTCATCTTTCAAATGCTTATAATAATCCTTGTACTCGATACACTGCCTCATTATGTTGGCGAAACATCTCAAAGCGCTTCACACTGACAGACTCTGTGAACCTTGAAGGTGGTTTCTCTCAGTGTCCCAGCCGACAATCCCCCAGATAGAAAGGGGGTTGTTCCCCTCATGGCTGTTAAGGAATGGGACAGTTTGGTGTGCAAATATGCCTGCCACGGTCATCTACAAAATACAGTCACTACACTTCACAGTAAAATCCTGTGAAGTGCAAAAGGTGCTATATCAAATGCAAGGATTATTATTACCTTGTCCCAGACTGCTTGAGGGTTGCCGTACTGAATTTTGAAACTATTAATTTGGATGAACAGTAATAGATGGCTGGCAGGAAGTCACGAGTAATCCAATGAAGCATAACTTTCAGTTTAATAATATTCTGAAATCTGAATCTAATACAATTTTGCTGTTAATGCCGAAAGAAGTAATTTCACAAAATGAGATGCGTTTGTATTGAGACCGGTTTGTGTTTGTGATTGGGAAGCAGAAAGGCACTTACCCAGGCATGAGTGGCTAAAATTAGCAATTACAAGGTTGCGTAGCAGAGAAACCCCACTGAGAAAATTAAATGTGATGTGCGCTACATGCAGGAGGGGGAAAAATTAAACTGCTTGAGAAACTGGGAGATGCTTTAACCACTCTACTAACATTAACCATCAAGTAACTGCCACACAAACCAATTACACAGCAGTCTCCTGCTATGTTTATCCTTGCCAATACTCTCCATGTTGAATGCATTTTAACTTCTTTGTCCTATGGGGTGAGGTGGGGATGCAGTTTCACAGCGATACGTGATATTCCAATAACTGATCCAAGGACTCTTATTAGTAGGTGAATGCAGTCACTACACTTTATACAGTAAATAATAATAATCCTTGCATTTGATAGTGCCTCATAACCTCATTGAAACACCTTAAAGCGCTTCAAAAAATATACTGTAAAGTGAATTGACTGTATATTTTGTGGGCAAAACACAGCAGCCAATTGCATACAGCGGTATTCTCCAATGTAAGGATTATTATATTTATTATTTGGTAACTCAGGGTGTTCACTTTTCAGCCAAGTGTCACTATATAACACTGAGGGCATTGGTAGGAGTCCCAATGCTGCCTCAATACCTCATCTGGAATCTTTCCGGTTGACATGGCTCACCTACTCGCTGAGCTAGTTTACTCACCAGTTTTGGAGTGTGAAACAGTGCAGGTGTTCAGTGATCTCAATTATCAGGGATAGGTGTTCAGTGTACCAGCGTCCCACATCTTTGAATTTCCTTGGAACATAGGAGTAGGCTATTCAGCCCTTCCAGCCTGTTCTGCCATTTAATTAGATCATGGCTAATCTGTACCTCAACTAATCCTTCGAATTCCAATTTCCCACCGTCTCTCCCTATCCCTTGATACCCTGACCTACCAAACATTTATCTATGTCACTCTTAACGGGGTGGATGGATGCAGCACCAACGGCCTTTTGGGGGAGAGAATTCCAGATTTCTACTGCCCTTTGAGTGAAAACATGTATATCTTTCCTGAGGTGTGGTGCCCAACACTGAACACAGTATTCCAGAGGGGTCTGACTAATGCTCTATACAGCTGAAGGAGGAAGGATGTTCAGCTGGAAAGAATTTTCTCATGCTGGAAAGGCTTTTAGATTAATCTTTAATAAGTAAATAATGTTGATTTAAAAATAAAGCTGGTTAAACACAACTTTATTTCCTCCACATTTCAAAGCTGAAACAAGATAGATAGAAAGTACCATAAGACAAGCTTTCTGGAAATGTCTTTAGTAGTTGTGCTCATGATGCAGTTTTTATATAATATATATATATATTTCCCTGACTGCTATTTTATAATGTTCCCAGGTGAGATGCCGTTTGCGGATGGTGGCTGTTTCTGAACCTCACAAGGTTCAGAAACAGCCACCATCCTGGTACAAAACAAATGCACCTGTTCAGAATCTTAACAGCAATTGCCAAGAAGCAAAATCTGTAAATTGGAACATTTTTGCCCAGAGTTTATTTCGGAAACGATAGAATAACTAACATTTTTCCCCATAATTAAAGAGACGATTCTTTGCAGTTTCCACTTCCTCAGCATCCTTCCTTTCCCTTAGTGTTGCCAATACGCTTCTTCACAGAAGAAGTTAACCCACAGAAGCCATGACAACGTCAACAGGAACTTCATCCTTGCTTCGGGCAGTCACTTGCATTGTGACCCCGTCCATCAGTGCGAGCCGTGCCCTGACCAGGATATCGTGGCCACCTCTGAAAACACCTGAAATTAACCCGAAAAACATTAGGGGTGAAACTTTAGCAGAGTTAAACAGGTCAACATCAATAGGTGATGATGTGAGGACATTTCCCACCAGCTTTCACGAGCTGACAAATAGGGGGGTATTTTGAAGGTTATTTTCACCACGTGTAAAAATGTGTGTAGAGGAGACTATATAGTTAAGAGAGAAATATTCTGAGACAGGGTTGACCTGTGCTCACACCCCCTCCCCAAATCTGCTGTCTTCTGGCTCCAATTGTGTCGCATCAACTTCCGTGACAGTCATGAAAGCTCAGAAAACAGGCGGACTAGCCATCTGGGCAGGCAAACACAGGATGGGACAATTGCGGCTGTAGCCCAATCTACTGAGCCTGTCCAGACGAAGGTTCATCAGTTTGAGCTATGGCACAGCATGGCAATGTTACTAGGGGCACATCAGTGATCTCTCAATGTTTGATTACTGGGAAAAGATAAAGGCTGGCAACACCCTGTGGGTAGTTAATGCTAATAAAAAGTAACAGCTGCTCTCTGCTAAATCAAATCAGAAGAAATGTTGTAGACGGGAATATGCCCAACGTTCCAAACAGACCAGCTTACCTGCCAGATAAAGTATGTGTGAGTTCTTATTCTCCGGGACTTTATCCGACCGTTCACATGGCTGCATGCCCAGGAAGTTAACAATATTATTTACAGCCTCTGGAGAGAAAAGAAGGTAATGTTCATAGAGTCTACCATATGTTGATAACATATTTACCAATATAAACCCAGCTGCTGTACCTTTCTTCAGCCCAATCCAACTCACAGAATTTCAATCAATCAGTCTTCAATTTGATCCTATTATAAAATCCATCTAATACACATGACCAGTTGTAGTAAGTGCAGAGATGTGAGGCCACACTGTTAAAAGCATTGCCAGAAGTAAAATACAAGGCACAAATCATGTCAGACGGTACTCTTAATCTAAATAATGAAACAATTCTAATGCTCGGATAGCTTTATTACTGTAATGGGCATCACTGTGCTAACATGCAGAACTAGTCAGCCCATAAAAGTCCAGTTTCCCTGGCCCAAATAAAAGAATAATCCTCGCATTTGATATAGTGTCTTATCACAGTCAAAAACATCTCAAAGAGCGTCACACAATTTTACTCTGAAAGTGTAGTGACTGCGTATTTCTAGGCAAAGTGGCAGCCAATTTATGCGCAGCATTGTCCCACAAACAGCCGTGAAGTGTCAACCTGCCTCGAGTCATGATTAAAATGTAAACATAGGGAATCAAAACTATGATGTTTCACTAAGCTGGTTATGAGTCACATTACAGTCAACAGTGACTGACTACAGTCAAAACTATAAAGTGGTCAAGGTGGATGATGCAGTCTTTGGTATAAGCGCAAATCGTGATACTTGCCTTCTAGTGATTTCATGCTGGAAAGAGCAAAAGTTTCTTCTTTCTCAAAGTCATCTCCTACTTCCTCCCAAGCAGCACTGAAGCTCGGTTTCAGAACTTTCTGCATGTGGTCTGCCACTGTGATTTCTACATCTTCAAGCTGAAATAGAACAATAATGTCAGTACTGGTTAGTGCCAGATCAGCGTCCAGCACTAAACCATGCAACATTATATAGAATTATATATACACACAACACGGAAACGACGTACAGCCCAACCACAGAAGCCCCCACCCCCTTGTATACCCCAGTGTCTTGGGACACCCTCCCAACATGAACGGCCCTATACAAATGTCATTTATTGTTGTGTTCTCTTAATTATTAATTGCAAAAGGCTTCAGAGTGATTTGGAGGATAGTTCCATGAGTCAATGTGTGAGGCATTTCTAGTTTCCTTATTAAAGGAATCTTGATGGAAAATGCTGAATAGTAAACCCAGTTTTTCAGGTGAAGTGGACTAAGCGAGAAATGGCAGTGATCACTTACCACATACTCATCTTCATATCCCTCCTCTTCAGCCTCTCCAGTGTTAGGATCGCAATCCTTAACCGTGAATTTCAAAGTACAGCTGAACGTGCAGGATACTACACAAAAGGAAGTAACAAGCTGTAAGAGACTCCAGGGAACAGCGGTGAAACTTTAATGTGTTGTACCAGAAAAACAAAACAGCAACAGGTTACCATACGTGTTTACTAGACAGCTTTATTTCATGATGGAAAATTAAAGTGCTCACTGAATATTCAACAACTAAATCTCTCCACTAAACCTCCTGAGATGTCTGGTAAAGAGCAGATCTCCAGAGCAGTGTCAGAGGTGCCGGCCTTCAGACGAGACATTGAACCGAGGTTCCATCTGCCTGTTCAGATGGATATTAATGATCCGAAGGCACTATTCAAAAAGAGAAGGGAACTTCTCCCAGTGTCCTGGCCAAAGATCGATCCTCCCAAATATAATTGATCCTTTTTTTTGTGGGATATTGTGTGCATATTGGTGACCGCATTCACCCACTAGTGAGGAGCTTTGAGATGTGGGCAGTTTGATATTGCGGCAGCCAATTTGCTCACAGCAATATCCCACAAACAGTCATGAAGTGAATAACTAATTTTATTTGATTGAAATGCCATCAGGCCTATCTTTTCGAACCAGGTTTCAAATCTTTACAATAACAAATTACATTTATACAGTGCCTCTCATGTCAGGAAGAAGTCCCAAGGGCTGTGTTTAGCCTCTGATTTTTGCCTTTGTGCTGTGGGGTGTCTTGTGGGGAAGCCTGACACCTTCACACAGGGAGAGAGAGAGAAAAGACTGAGGCACTTGCCATCAGGTAGGAGAAATTCCAACTGAGTCTAAGACTTGCATTTCAGAGGATGGAAATTTTTGGAGAAATCTTAATCTCGCTCTTAATTAATTGCAGGATCCTTTCCTTTTTTAAAAGAAGTACAAAAACAGTTTAAGAATTGCTCAAAAATGTTGCACATTATGAAATACTGAGGGGAAAAAAAGTCTCTAGAGCCAGATAGAATTTTGCCCCCTGAGAGTGACTGCCCACCTCCCTATCTCATTTGTAGCTGAAAAAGGGAATAAAATACAGTTACTTAATCCGAACAAGTAACAGCCACACAAAGTGCACAGAACAGGGCAAGCTGCTGCACGGCACTCTTTACCTGCAATTGGGTCATCCTCTGGCAGTGCCACCAATGTGTAACAGATGCCCGGCTGGTTGTAGGACAGGCAAGTTGCTGGGATAAAGCACACCACTTCATAACCCTCTGTGGGCTCCATCTGTACCGTTACTTTCTCCAGGATCTGGTCGTTAAGAGTGTTTGTGCAATCAAACTGTAGGGGCAGACACATAATAATAAATACAATAGGGGGGGTCACAAAAACAAAAACAACATGTACATTTATATACAGCCTTTCAGAAGGCTGTCTCACAGCACTTTAGACAGCTGACTTGAGAGTCTAGGGTTGGGTGTGGGGGGGGGATGAGGAGAGGGGAAAGAGCAGTCAATGAGAAAACTCTAGGTTGGCTTTGAAGGTGGGAGGAAGATGGCAAGGCAACTAGGATGGGGTTCCATACATCAGGGACAGGATAGCTGAAAACTTGCCTGATCAGGTGAGGGATGTGAAGCCAGTGTCCGCTAAGTGGAGGGGCCACCCAAAGGGGTCGGTCGCGGTGGTGGTGGGGGGGAAACATTTTGAAGGAATTTGAACGTGATGATGAGGATCTTAAATTTGATCCACTGGGAATGGGGAGCTGAGCGAGGATGGGGGTGATAAGCCCACAGAGAATTACAGGATATAAAGCAGTTTGGAACGAGGACCTAAATGGAAACATTCCGATGCCTGAGCTGAGTCACAGAGGAGTTTTGCTGGTTGACGTGAGGTGGTATTCTGTAGCACATGCCTCATAACACTGGGAAACAACAAGCTCGATGAGAGCCATCAGTTTGGGCAGTCGCGTACCTGGAACACGATATGGTTTGTGAAGGTATGCTTGGTACAGCGGACAACGTATTCTGTCTCGGATTCGGTGAGCGGGACCGGGGTGGGCGAGGACTTGAAGAGCGGGCCAATCCCCTGGAACTCCGGGATGGATGCCAGCTGTTCTGGAACACAGTAATATAAGAAGCGATGTTATTACCGGCTCGGTATAATCAGCGCTCTGGGACACTACCGGTGTGAAGGGCACTATATAAATGCAAGTTGTTGTTGTAGCTGCACCGCACTTCACTATTCTATCCGAGCAGGAATGTGATTTAAAATATATATATACTGTATTCGTGCCATTTGCATTCACTGTATATACAGTAATTATTTTACTTTCAGCCATGATGATCTGGAAAGGCAATTATCAAATGCAAGGATGATTATTATTCCATTATTTATTAAGAGATGCTTTTCACAGCGAGCTGATCTCGCTCACTACAATCACTAAAATAACCGTGTTGCACCCAGACGTAGCACTGACCATTATTAACCATTAAAAGAGGACTGAGAGGACCCACATTTGAGTTGTGAATCTTCTGGCTCGGAACCTGACATGAGCTGACACTACTTCCCTTTTACTAACATGCAACTGGCAATAAAACAAACAAAGGTTTTACCTTGGAAAATGTCCTGCCTGGCTGATGCCACTTTTTCAGGCATTTTGACTGAAGCGGTTGTTACGTCTGTGGGGCCGAGAGGGGGGAAAGACAAACAAAATGCATTAGAACCACTTGAGCAATGAAGTACACTGGTTCAATAAATAACTTCAGAGACGAGACAGCTAGTCTTTTCTTCTAATTAAAGTACAGCTCTCTCCCCCTCCCACTGCTATAATATGGCAGCTGGACAACCCTAAACCCCTGCACCACACAGGAAGTGATGTCGGCAGTAACCTCATGATCTGGGAATTGGCCATTTTGGCTCTTCCGCATGCTGCCCAGCACTTTTTTGTAGGGGATAAATAAATGCCAGGGTCCACACCCTGATCGAGCTACAAGCAAACCTGTGTTATAACAAAGCATATCACAATTAGGTTCTACTGCATTTTATGGACACAATGAAATTCAGAGATAAAAGAGGAGTCTTTGATAAAACTGCCACAGCCTTTTATCAGAGACAAGAAATTAGAGTGAGAAGATGAAACCAGTCAATCATATGAAATAAGCCTTTCAAAGACATCTGAGGTGTTAAGTGATCTTCAGAGAGTGAGGGAGAACACAACATAATGGCCTCGCCTGTATTTAGAATTATTTTAAAATGCAATTTTCTCTGAACATAAAGCCTATATTTCACTTTACTTTCAACTGAAGTTCACCCAAGAACAATAAGATGCAATTCCGTATCTATACAACATTAGTTTCCCACTGAACCTGTCTAGCTTGTGCACACACTAACTGTTACACTGTCCCTTTAAGAAAATAATGATGTAATTCCATTTAATGACAAATTGCCATCTGCTAACGTAAGAACAGATTTTCTGTGACAAGAGTGACCTTAATATTCATAACCTTTCTGCAGATGATGGTATGCCTGTTCATGCTACGAATAACGCTGTGTGCAATCTACACCTACCAGCCTTCTGGTCGCAGATGGGAGTAGTTGAAAGGGGCACAGATTTCAGGTCAAATGGCTTTTCGGATGGGTCCAATGTGTACTGATGCAATGCCCTCTCAAGGCCAGGAATTGACACTTGTAGACCTGGACAAAGAGACAAATTGCTAATGTATAATAGCACATCGTAGAAGAAAATGTCATCTAAGTGTTGCACTTATAATGGATCAGAGTTTAATAAGTAAAATGTTTTAATAGGGGAGTTCAAACCCAAAGTTGGAACTTTGAACTCGTATAGTCTAGGCTGACACTCCAATGCACTGCCAATGGTGTGCTGTGTTGTGAGAGATGAAGTCCCGTCTGCCTGTTCAGTTGGACGTTAAAAATCCCGCGGCACTATTGGAAAAAGAGGAATTTTTTCTGTGTCCTGACCAACAATCGCAGATAAAATTAATCATTCAGCTTGTTTATAGCTCTTTGTGGGGCTATGATGTGTGCAGATTGACTGCCACATTCGACGACCAAATGCACAATCACTGGACTTTGTAGTAAAGGAAGCCTTCGAGATGTCCTGCTGACAAGAAAGGTGAATCGTAAAATTCAATTATTATTATTATGAGGATTAAAATACAGATCTTACCGTTCAGGATGTAGGCAGAGTTCAAAGGTTTCTGCTTGTGTTCCAGCACACTCAGGTAGAACGTGGCTCGATCCCGAACCTCATTATCATCGTCCATCATACATCTATACAAAATACAGACTTGAAAGTTGTGCTGAATTTCCTCATAAGAATCAAGCTGTTCTGTGCCACCACAATCAGAGGAAAACTGTGCCACACGCAAACCATGTTCAGGGTTGATCTGGGTTAATCTCCCTCCACTCAGCAAACACCGACTAACCTGGGTCAAGTCCCTGCCAATTCGGTGTACATTAAATCTTGTGAAATACTGTGAGAGACGTCCTCCCGACGTGAAAGGCTCTTATACAAGTAGCAAGGATTAGCAGTAAATCTAAAATCAAACAATAACTAAGTGTAACCTCCAGCAATATATCGGGGGAGGGAGGGGGGGGAGGAAGAGAGTGTAGAGAGGACGACAATCGTTGTCCAGCAGTGAAACTTACCTCCTCAGCAATACGCTTATGCTGGGGAACATGTCGTCATTCTGGGCACCAAACTTCGCTAGGGCGCTCACAGCAGCTGCGAGAGTAACCAAAGTAAAAGGTGTTGAAGCTGAGCATTCAATAATCACCAGTAAAACTAACAACGTGAAAGCACAAACGGCAGCAGTGGCAGAGAGACGATTTAATTTCCTGTTCTATATCTGAAGAGGATGAGTTGCTTTCATTTCCTATTTTGGTTTATAAGACAGAAGCAAAGGCAGCTTCTCAAGTGTAAACGAACCGGGTTCACCTGTTCACTGCACTGAACCGATCTGTGAAACTAAGCATTAAACTCTGTATTTTAAACCAAAAGGAGCATTGCTGATATGCTTACATATATATTAAATATTATTATATTAAAAGCAGGAACACCAAGATTTAAACGCTACTGATACGTGATAAAAATTACACAAACCTGATCTGAAGTCACAGAGGAATTTTTTTTACATCCTACTGAAAATTGCAAAACTGCATTTTAGTTTGAACTGAAACAGTTCAATAACATTTTTCCCCCAAAATTAATCTGGTCGAGATTAGGGAGATCCAACCCACAGATAAGAAACTGATAACTTCAACAACAAATTACATTTGTAAAGGGCCTTTCACGTCAGAACTCTGAAACTTTGAAACACACCCTGGAACTCCATCCCACGGTCCCTTCTCCTCCCTCGCCTCCTTCAAGGCCGGTCTCAAGACCCTTCCCTTCGATCGTGCCTTTGGTCGCCCTCCCATCACTCTGCCTTCCCTCATCCCTACACCACCCGCCCCCATTCTCGGGCTCCGACACCTGACTGTTTCAGCGTGAAAGGCGTTCTATAAATGTCATTTTGTTGCTGCTGCTGCTGTTGTCGGGAGGCCTTACCAAGGGGCTGGACAGTCAGGGATTTAGACCCAAGCAGGGGGTTGGGATCAGAGAGGGTAGGGGTAGGCAGATGGACTAATGCACAATCGAAGAAGAGGGTCTTGAGATGTGCTTTGAAGGAGGCAAAGTAGGGATGAATCAGAAAGTGAGACTGGACAGAAAAATGAATGTGCAATATAAAGTTTAAAGATCCCATGACACAATTCGAAAAGAGAATGCAGTTTCTCCCAGTGTCCTGGCCAACATCCCCACAGATAAAATTGGTCGTTCACTCCACGGCTGTTTGTTGTGCACAAATTGGCTGCTGAGTTCGCCCACAAATGCACAGTCACTACACGTATGCACGACTCACCTGCCCGCACCTCCTCGTTCTCTAGGATAACCCTGTTGTAGATGAAGCGAATATACTTTGAAGGGTTGGGAGTCCTGGGACCTTCCCTTCCGAGCAAGTGAAGGATCCGTGTGGCCAGAACAGTGAACTCGCAGTCCTCGATGAACTCACACAGGTGAGCCAACCCCGTGTCCTTGCTCTCTGGGTTCTCCTCAATGATGCTGATAATGCAGTCGACGATGGCTCTCTTGTACTCAAATCCACCCTGGAGACATGGAAAGAAGTCAGAACCTGGGTCTGCACACGCTCAGCTGGAAATGCCAGTGAGCTTTTCGGTCTCACAGGCACGCCAGGCAAAAAACACATCGAGAAAAAACACACAAAAGAAACGAAACAAAAGAAAAATGATTTGCTACTGCGTTTCATGAAGGTGCTTGGCTTGTGTGTGTGTGTGCAGGCATGCGTGTGCGATGTGAGACGTAAAGCAATAGAATACAAGTCTAATATATTACTAATCCTTGTAATTCATACAACAGCTCAACACACATTTAAACGGCAGCCCAAAGCCCTGCACAGGATTTACAGTAAAGTGTTGTGACTGTGCATTTTGTAGGCACGCACACAGACAATTTGCACACAGCATTGTCCCATGAACTGTCATGAAGTGAATTGCTGATTGTATCAGGGGAATTGTTAGCCAGGACTCTGGTGATATTCCCTTTTCTTTTCGAATAGTGCCACAGGATCTTTAATGTCCATTTGAAAAGGCAGCCAGGACCTCCTGACACCTTAATCATAGTATGGGTGTATGTGGGTGCTCTAATTCATTGTGCTGTGGAGAATTAGAGATACAGATTCACGCTCCGAATCCCCCAACTTCAAACAAAGCTCTTTGAGACAGGTTAGATATTTTCCCACAGGAAAAGGAGAAGGGTGATGAGTGTGCGGGCTGGACTGGTGCAATAGAAGCCTGTTGCAAATAACAGGCTTCCAAGTACAATTCAATCCAAAAGAGCTTAAAAAAATTAAAAAAAACCTTGTTGGTGGCTACCTCTTCCCGGAGCATGGTGAACAGGAAGTTCATCATCACTGCATGCTTCCTGGGGTATTTCTGACACAGGGAGCTGATCGCCTGCACAACCACAACCTAGATGAGGAAGGATATTGTTAGATTTCATCGTCAATCAGCTGAAGGAGCCACTTTCTCCACAAGCAATTAAAAGCTGTTGTTCAATTGCAACTCCTCGTTATATATTTTTAGTTACATTTTAAGTACTATTAAAACCATTCAACACCACAGCTGCGTACATCAAGGCTGTATCATTTGTTTAAGGTTCAGGACTGAAATCAGAAAGCGAGTGATTACCATTAAGCCATAAATACAAATACGTGCCAGTGTTGGCAGGATATCAGACTGCAAGAGCTCTCTTCTAGAAAGGAGGAGGAGAAACACTGGCAATGAACAAGACGCAAAAAATTCAATTAAAAAAAAAAGCACAGCACAGATCTGAAGCCCAGCGCCAAAAGCCAAGGGAGAACTTGCACACCTGCACAGCACTGATTCAGATACTTCATTATTATTAAATAATGTAATCTTTGCATTTGACATAGCACCTTTCACATTGGGAGGATGTCTCAAAGTGCTTACGGCAGCCAATTTGTACATAGCAATATCTTACAAGCAGCAATGAAGCGAACAACCAATTTTATCTGGGAGGATTGTTGGCCAGGACAGTGGAGAAACTCCCTTCTCTTTTCAAAATGTTTAATGTTAACCTGAACAGGCAGAGAGGCAGGCATTGCTCTGTTTTAATAATAATAATCCTTGCATTTAATATAGTGCCTTATCACGTCGTTGAGACGTCTCAAAGTGCTTCACAGGATATACTGTAAAGTGAATTGACTATATTTTGTGGGCAAAACCAGCAGCCGATTGCGCTCAGCAGCGTCCCACAACAGTCGTGGATTGAAGTGACCAATTTATTATTACTTTTTTGAGTCATTGGAAGCAGTGTCCCTGACAGTGCGGTGCCCCCTCTCCCTCTCCTCCCACCCCCCAGCACTGTGCTGGAGCGACAGCGTACCTTGAACTCGTCGGAGATTTCCGACATGAAGGAGGAGATCTGTTTCATGAGTCGGTCGATGCTGCTTTCACTGCCGGTTTTCAGCAGGGTAGTGATGGCCAGGGTGGCAATGCTGCGGTTTGAGTCCGTCACCAAGTTCTCCAGGTCCAGGTTGCAGGCGGTCACGGCTGAAGGATGCTTCATTGCCACCTGCAATCAGATGTATGGCTTTTAAAGTCATATCGACCATTTACAAACTAGATACAGATTCTACCCAACGACCCCATGGATTCTCTGAGATGGTTGAGGGGGTTGGAAGCGGTGGGGGGGAGAGATAAAGAGTGAAGGGGGAAGGGGTTATGGAGGAACCAGAATCCAGGCTTCCCATCTGCAGTGTTGCCTTTCGTCTCTGCTCTGGACAGGTTTTAACAGAAACCTCTCTGAGGTGGTTGGGGAATAATAATAATCCTTGCATTTGATATAGCGTCTTCGAGACGTCTTAAAGCGCTTCACAGAATATAATGTAAAGTGAATCGACTGTATATTTTGTGAGCGAAATGGGGAGAGATGGGGGTTCAAAACGGTGCCCACGACTGTCAGATAAACCACATCAATGATTTACAAAGTAGACAAAGAATCTGTTTCCCTGAATTAGCATCCCGGCGTGGGGTGAGGTCCTGTTAATGACATTACCAGCGAACACATGCGGAGAGAGCACAGGGATTTTCTAACGCAAGGTTTTAATGAAGGAAATGTTACATTGATCCAATCCACTCATTGATCCCTGCAGCATGGAGCTACAGTTGAATAAAAGTAATTACAATGCGGAGAACCAAAGTGACAGGATAGGATTCTCAGAAATGTAGGGTTTTTTTTTGGATCATCCGGGTGTCTGACACAAGCGGAGACCAATCACTGTGCTTAAGAGTATCCAAACCAAACTCAGATTTCCATGCATCCAAACCCACACATGGAAATTCCAGAGATAGATTGTTGGAATGGAATGCGCACTCTCTCCCTGGAGGGAGGCATCCTGCTTACCTAATTCCGGAAAGTATTAGGCGTAGGTTGGCAAGAGCCAAGGCTTGGGGACCCGAAAGTGTCCGTTGGGGTACTCTTGTAGTCAAACCAGCTAAAACCACATAGCTTTTCATTGATATTGCTGTCTGGCAAGCTTTCCCGCTGCTTGTCCAGCTAGGACCACGCTATCTGTTAGGGCTTTGGCTCGCAGGGTTAACAGGAGATGAGTGGGATGATTCCCTGGCCCCAGTGACTGGTCTGCCCTTTCAAGTCCTGCCGATGGGGGTTCAAAACGGTGCCCACAACTGTCAGATAAACTGCTAGCTCAGCAGTGCCCTGGAGGTCTAATACAGATACAACAAGGGATCCGGAATCAGGCACAGTAAAAATCTTGCAAGCTTCCTGCCATGAATAATGTTGTTTCCAAGCTGTGGATTCCTCTTATTTCACTTGTTTTGTGCAGTAGCTTTGAACTGGAGCACAAGTCACCTGTTAATTAATGCCTGACTGACAACTAGTGGCAGTTAGTGGAGCTTTAAGTAAGCTCTTGTTTGCGATTCAGAGACACCCTGCTCCTTGACATTAAACAATTCCTAACAAGACATAAAGGGAGGGAAATGGCAGAGACATTTGATTACAAACCCTGGTGGTTTTTGGATCTGTCACTTTTTAATTGAATCCCCCTCTTACCTTATTGAGTGTCCTGACTGCTGCATATCTCAGGGCTGGCTTAGGAGAACTGCAAAACAACTGCAGAACTGCAGAGAGAGAGAGAGAGAGAGAAAATAAATCTAAAGCACCGACTTATAACACAAACGAAAAGGAACAGAAAACGCCTTCAGTTTCTATGTACTTCAGCAACAAGCGATCGCTAACATAAACACACAATTCTAGCCCAAGCTGGGATGGTGAGGAGGTCCAGATGCAGAGCTTTGGGGTTTCTTGGCTCTGTGCTTCTGTCAAGAGTTGGTACGTTTATCATATAAATCACTATGGAAACTCCAGTGTTAGGGGCTGGGCGTAAAAAACATGCATCCTTGCATGCGATATAGAGCCTCATCACATCTTAAAACTGCTGTACTGGATTTACGGTAAAGGTTAGTGACTGTGCTCACAAAGACCTGGCATTCCTGCAACCTGGCTCCTGATGCCTCTTTGAGGCTCCGATTTGTCCAGAGTACGTTATGCAGTTTAAGGTTGGCATTGCGAATAGATGTGGCCTCCCTTCACTCAGGATAAACTTTTAATGCATTGTCTTTTACTGTTGTTAAAGGGCTGATGGGGCAGCACTGACTGCAAATGGCAGTTCACAGAGCTTTAAGCAAGCGCTTATTTGCGATTAGGAGACACCCTGCTCTAAATGAGACGACCCGAGCTCCCGTCTGCCTGTTCAGGTGGACGTTTAGGATCCCATGACCCTATTCGAAAACAGAAGGGAGTTTCTCTTGGTTTCCTTGGCCAACAATACCCAGACAGGGTTGGTCACTCACTCCATGGCTGTTTGCGGGACATTGCTGTGTGCAAACTGGCTGCCACGTTAAGCCTATAATCAATCCACTTTACAGTATATCCCATGAAGCACTTCGAGACATCTTGACAATGAGATTAGGCACTATATCAAAGCCAAGCAGTATTATTTTTTGGGCCATAACACTGCCAGGGGACATTAGAATTCAGGCTAGCGAGTGGACCAGCGTGGCTGGCTACACTGCACTGCTGATTTGCTCCGGTTTTAATGTGTGATGTGGCCACAGAGCACTGGAGCACATCGCCCCAACTCCCTCTTCGTCACAAAATACCACTGCTCATTTTTGACACGCTCGTCACTAAACAGGGTGGTAATCACGTCACTGCAATTAAGGCATTAATTAATTAAAGGCATTGAGCGCCAACGCCACCCCACGCACACTTACCCGAAACGGCAGGTGCCAGCTCTTTGGCGGAACAGCTCGGCAGGTTGACGATGGCGGAGGCTGCCTCATACACAACCATCTCGTGCTTGTTCCTCAGGCAGCTCTCGATGAAGTCAAACAGAGGGCTGTCACGGCTGAGAGAACAATAAAGGAAGTCATTACCACCACAGCCATGCATCGCAGAACTGTCTGGATAAGGTTACCACTTGCTGTCCAAGCTCATAAGCAAACCCAGACCTCCGAGCCCTCAGTATTATTAATAGTTAAGCACGTCAGGAGTGAGGGAAGGGACAACTTTACACACATTTACGCAGCGCAGACTATATTCTTGTTATATATTGAACAGACTGTTGCGTAGGCTGTAATAATCTGACATTTAAAAAAAAAGCACCTGGGCCTTTGCTGACGTCAAGTGTGTGCACCCGATGAGCAGAATGGAAAACGCTACAGTTTGCAAATCGAGAGTCACTGCTCACCTCACAGCAAATCAAAGGGTTGAGATTGGGAAGAATTTTCTCAGATTTGGTGCTAACTGCTCCACCGCAGCCATCTACACTAATCCCATTCATTTTTCCTCAAGAAATGACCTAGTTCCATTTTAACATGCAACACGGAAACCCCGTTACACCACGATCGCTGGGTCTAATGTCTCGGTGGCCATATTGTAAGCGAGGCGGTGAATGGCCGGGTCAACGGGTCATCTCCTATGTCACTTCCTAAACGTTCCGCACATGTGCAGGAAGATGATGGCATTTCCTTTGTGAAGTGACGTCAGCAATGACCTGACAACCCGGAAGTCAGACATTTTTTTTCAGCACCCGGAAGCTGGGTGTACCACCCTTCACGGTTTAGATGGGTTGCTCCACAGCAGCTTGGCATAAGCTTGGCAGCCCTATAATCGATGGGGCACCATACCAGGGTTGCCATGTATCGTGTACTCATTTTTAACACTTGAAGTACTCCCATAGAAAACAACTTTGTGTGGACAAACCTTCCTCCTGCCCTAAAGAGCTCTCACCTTCCCTCATCCTCCTCCAGCAGTTTACTGGCAACTCGGATCATCAAACAGTAGGCAAATGGTGACTTCAGCCCTTGGCGCGCAAACTTGCTCACCATCTTGCTGACAGCGAGCCGGTCGTTTTTCCGGACGTGGTAGAGTAAGCCCAGAGCGTGATACTAAACAGAGCGAGAGAGAAAATTCAGAGCTTGAAAGGCATTCCAGATATAAGAACTGCACAAGGCTAGCTCTCATATTTATATAATAATAAGCCTTGCATTTGAATATAGCGTTGTTTAGGTCTTTTAGACATCTCAAAGTGCTTCACAGAATATACTGTAAAGTGAATTGGCTGTATATTTGTGGGCAAAACGCGGCAGCCAATTGCGCACAGTAGTGTCCCACAAACAGTCGTGGATCAAATGGTGGACAAACAAGATGGGAATCAGAGTGAAATATAAAAGGTAAACCCATGCATTTTCTAGTACGACGACATCTTGCTTTTATATAGCGCCCTTCACATAGAATAATGTCTGAGCCCTTCGCAATAACCGGATCAGACACCGACAAAGCGAGAAGGAGAAAAGGAAGGTGCCCGTAGCTACAGTTGAAAAGGTATATTTAGACCGACTAAAGAAAGACAGCGTGAGCGCGAGGACAATGTCTTGGTAGCAACTAACATGCAAGTAAAAAACCTTTTATATAACAAATCAGATAGAGAAACCCAATGAAGCATTTTCTAATGTGAATGAGTATAAATCGAATGCCCAATTAAGCAAATTTAATACACCCTCATTAGTAAAACAACTCACAATTTAATATTATATAATAACTGCACAAATTGATGAGGAGTGGCTGTAGTTTGTTTTTTCCTCACCAGCGGGTAAAAACACTGGAACTTTCTAAGGTCTCAAACTTCTTAGAAAGACCTTTTATCTTCTGATGCAAAAACTGAATGGCACAATTTCGATGATTTTTTTGAGTAACATAATTACTGCACTCAATGCATAACTGACGTCAGAAGCTCAATTTGCTCGGCTCTGGTTATAACCGGTACTGGTTGCAAAGCTTTTCAGCTTTAAATGAATATGGCTTAGACCTTATAGACGTGCACAACATTTTAAATGGGATTGAAAAAGTAAACCCTAAACAATACTTGAGGATGCACCAGAACAAGAGGACACAGGATTACAGTTGCAAAGCGTAATTTCAGAACAGACATTAGATATCACACTGAAGCTACTCTTTAGCAAGTACTGTACGATACTCACAAACAGTCAGTAAGTGAATGACTAATTTGATCTGGGAGACTGTTGGCCGGGACAACAGGAGATACTCCCTTCTCCATTTGAATAGTGCCATGGGATCTTTACCGTCCACTTGAACAGGCAGACCAGACCTTGGTTTAACATTTCATCTGAAGGATGCCACCTCCGACTAAGCAGCAAACCTGAAGCGCTGCTTTCAGCTAAAATTCCTGACATGGGGCATGAACGCACAACCTTCTGAAGTGCAACTTTCAGAGACAAGTTTCTATGAACTGAGCCACTGACTGACTTTATATAATTCCCAGGAGATAGAGAGGGTGGCACCCACGAAAGTTTGTGTGCTTTTTGCTCTCAATATTCCCGCAGCAAGCGAGCAAACCAAGACAGACCAACAAACAGCATGTTACACCTTCTGCAGAAAAAACACTGATTGCAGAAATAAACCCACAACACAGAAATATTCCTACATAATACTAAAATCGTGTATTTGTTATTACACATTATAAACTGCAACAACAAATTAACTTGTATAGTTGACCTGACTTTGAGCTCACTGTTCAAAATCCCTTGAGAAATAAACCTTTGCCAAAATAAAACAGAATAGAATCAGGCATGAATCTTTCTGTTCCCGAGCAACTGCACAGCTCTGTTTTGAGGCAATGAATAGTCGCAGGCATTGACGACATGCTCCAGTGTCACTTTCAAGGTTTCCCACAGGATTTGAGCCCCTGATGAGCCAGTTACAACACACACACACGCACACACATTCTCCCCTTCGATACACGACTCACTGATATTATTGAGCATTTTTATTCTCCCCGTTGTTCCCACCACTTCACTTACTTGGACCATAATGTTGTCACTGGAGGCAGCCTCCTGAGCCTCGTTCACCCAGCGCTTCACCACATCGAAGCTGCTCTTTAGCAAGTGCTACAACGACACAACAGAAAGAGCACATTATTGTCGTTTCCTGCGACCCCGATTTAAACCACAAATCGCACTAAACGTACACTATAAATGCAGCTATAAACAAAAATTTATTGCTGGAAATCTGAAATAAAAACAGAAGTCGCTGGGAACACTCAACAAGTCAGGCAGCATCTATGGAGAGAGGAAATTGAGTTAACGTTTCAGGTCGATGACGAAAGGTCATCAACCTGAAATGTTAACTCACTTTCCTCTCTCCATAGATGCTGTATGACCTGCTGAGTGTTCCCAACGATTTCTGTTTTTATTTTATAAATGCAGCGTTTTGTTCTGCAACAGTGCTCTGCTCTTTCCTGTAATGGTATTCAAAAAGCTGTCACAAATCCACAGTGAAGAGAAATAATTATGTGTTAGACTAGTGCTGGGATTGCTGTTCAGTCAGGACAACACACAGCCAACGGCACACTACATTTGGGAATAACTAAAGGTATGTAAATTTTTATCTCAATGAAAATAATCCTTGCATTTGACAGGTTGACTTTCACGTGGGGAGGATGTCGTAAAGTGATTCACAGGATTTACTGTAAAGTGCAGTGACTGGATTTTTTGTAGCCAATTTGTGCACAGCAATGTCCCACAAACATCCAGGAAGTGAGTGACCAATTTTATCTGCAGAATCGTTGGCCACGGCATTGGGGAGAAATTCCTTTATCTTTTTGAATAGTGTCACAGGATCTTTAACATAATAATAAGAATCTTTGCATTTGATTTTTGCGCCTGATCACATCGTTGAGACGTCTTGAAGTGCTTCACAGGATACAAAATGGATCGCCTATGTATTTTAAGGATGAAACAACATCCATCTGAACAAGTGCATACAGGGACCTTGGAGAGATTACACTCTAAAAATGATATTACATTTCACAGTGGCTAGGTTACTCACCAGTGAGGACAGTAGCGCAGAGCTGGAGACGCTAGGCACTTTGTCAACAATTGCCTGCTTCATGTAGCGTTCAATGGCCTGCAGCATGGTGCTCTGGCAAAAATCAAAACAGCCAGGTCAGCAGGCTCTGCAAGAAGACACCCTCTGACTGGCACTCGACCAGACATGTACATAGACATAGAAGTGCTGAACAGTAAACAAGCAACAGCGGTGGAAAAGTAAATGGACATCTCACGTACACTGAGCACTTCATTTCACTTCAGATCACAGGAAGCGATAATAATAATGCTTACATTTTACACAGCGCCTTCCATGTGGAGAGGACAGGATGCACTGTAAAGCACAGTGTTTTGTGGGCACCAATGCAACAGCCAATTTGCACACAGCCATGTCCTGCCAATAGCCATGAAGTGAATGACCAATTTTATTTGGGGGATTGTTGGCTAGGAGACGGGAACAAATATCCTTTTCGAAATAGTGCCACGGGAATATATGCAATGTAACCCCCCTCCCCCACCAGGAGATAGAGAGGTTGAGCTAGAGTCCTGGCTAGGCTACGCTGTGTGTGGCTTGGGACGTCCTCCCGACGTGTAAGACGCTATACAAATATAATTTTGTTGTTGTGGAGGGAGAAGGCTTGATGGGCTGAATGCCCTTCTCTCATTCTTTGCTTTCTTACATTCTCATCAGTAAAAGCAACAGTGGGAAGTGGATAATGGATAATCTGTGATGCTGATAACAAAGAAACAGAAATGCAAATGGACTTTTAGGAGTTTCTGTACCCACTACCCGATTAATTCTGAAATAAAAACAGTGTTGAAATGAGAAGCTTAATGAAGCCTCCGAGGTTGGTGAGCCAGCCCAACTGGGGGTGTGAATTCAGCTCCCCACAGTTCAAATTCCATATCAACCATCCTGATTGCCCTTGTGTTGCATTACATAGAATGTTATAGCACGAAAACAGGTCATTCAGTCCAACTCCATGAGCTCCCACCCCTCCTAAACCCATTTCCTATTCCCTGCTCTCTCATGTAAGGACCAAACTTACTCTTAAAATTTTTGATGCTTTTTGCTTCAAATACAGAAATTTCTCCTAAACTCCTTTTTTCTACTAATATAATCTTATATTTATACCGCTTCGTTTTGGACTCCCGATGAGTGGAAACATCTGAGGTTATGACTGCTCCTGTTGTTCACTTAGGCCCCTTGCAGCCAGCAAGAGAACATTAACAGCCATCGGACTCAAACCCAGGTCACAGAGGCGAAAGGACAGTGCATTTACACACATATATCTGTTAGGGCGTTAAACATTCACTTCTCTGAGATCAAAACAAGCCTTTGCCCTTCTTTTGCCTGCATTTTTATAGTCTGTCGTGTTGTCTAAGTGGAGCACTTACATCAGTAATTTTACACAGCGCTCGAACAGCAGAGCCTCGGTAATTGTCGTCCTTTCCAGTCATGTCTTTTGTCAAACTGAGGGGCAAGAGCACACAGGATCATTATTAGAAAACGTTTCACAGGCTGCTCAAAAACAACCAAACACCAATCTCAGACGGAAAATGATTTCTAAATGTGTCTATCGAGCCTATTTTACAGGCCAATAAACGATAGGCTCAGCTGCCACATTGATGCATTTCCGAGCATGCCTGGGTTTACTGAGACAATGCTTTTCGCAGGCACTTAACCTCTGCAAGGTGACTGCCAGCCACGCTCTGGAAAGGTGAGCCAAGCATTACAATTTACATTTAGAGAGCTCCTTTCAGATCAAGAGGACATCTCAAAACACTGACACGGAGGCTGAACTGGGGAGGGGGGGGGGGCGGGGGGCAGAGGGTATAAAAGAGATGAAATACAAAGGGAGAGGGAGGAAAGTGACAACAATCATGGTTGAAAAGATAGGTGCAAAATGGGTCTTAAGGCGTGTTTTGAAGGCGGGGGAGGGAGAGGGCAGATAGAGTTCCATAACTAGCACAGGAGAGAGGACAATGCACAGGTAGATTTTTAACAATCCCCTTATTCAAAAAGATGTCCTGGCAAACCATCCCCCAGATAAAATTGAGCATTCACTTCATGGTTGTCAATGGGATATTGCTGCGTGTCACTGATAGTGCTGCTGCATTCGCCCTCAAACTGCAGTCATTCATTAACAGTAAAATCCTGTGAAGCACTTTGAGACATCCTTCTGAAGCCAGCGAAAGGCACGGTATCAAATGCAAGGATTATTATAAGCAATAACCTGCAGTGTAGTTCAAAGAATATTATGCTGAAACTGCATTGCTCGGCGTATATAAAAATAATGTATTAATAATATAATATTCGTATGCTGGTCGTGTCGGTGGTGACTGAAGTAATAGGGAGACAAATCTGGCTCTTTAAAATGTTAATCCAGCCATCTGTTAAAGGCTGAAAAATAAAACTGGCACCAAAGGATAGAAGCATAGAAACAGGAGGAGGTGATTCAGCCCCTCGAGCCTGTTCCACCATTCTGTAAGAACTTGGTTGATCTGTATCTCAACTCCAATTACCTGCCTTTGCCCCATATCCCTTGATACCCTGACCTAACAAATATCTATCCACCTCGGTCTTGAAAGGATACTCTGCATTGTTATTGAGTCCAAATGAAAACAAAGCCAGATACACAAAGTATTTCATGAATCTCAGAATACAAATATAAACTTTTATGTTTAAACTGTGGTAAATAGCGTTCCTTTCCCTTGCTTTTGTTGACAATCGACCGGTTGGAGACTCCTTGTCTAAACCGTGGCGCTAGCTGAGATGTGCTAATGCAGCATAGGCCCACAAACCTGTCGTCTGTCACTACACCAGGCCATTGGAGGAGCCTACAATCTCCTGTCAAACACCAACCTGCTGGTCACGATGATGACATCCTCGGCAATGTTGGACATCTCTTTGATCGTCAGGTAGCACATCCGTCTCAGGGTGGGCTGCAGACCAAGGCAGGAGGTAAGACAGTCAATTAATTAATTTAGCATAAATCTCCAACAACCATCCTACAGCCCGCACAGGGAAGAGAGCTACAAAATAGTCAGGAGTGGGTCTAATAGGGAGTTTGAGAGGCACTTCAGGAGTAGGTCTAATAGGGAGTTTGAGAGGCACTTCAAGTAGAAGGTGGTGAGAAAGTGACTCACTGCGGTTAAAGCAAAAATCATCAACGTATTTAAGAAGAATCTTGATGCATACGTGAGGAATAAGGGAATAATAGAGGGGAATAAGAGGGACAGGGACATATTTGGAGTATAAACTCCACCACATTGGTCAAAATAGCTTGTTTCCGTGCAGCATAATCTACGTAAAGATTATGCCGTGCATTAAATGTTACAGAACAACTCGGGAGAAACGAGCCCAACACACATTTGTGTATCGGGGCCCCTATTTCATGCACACAGATCCTGTTCGCTTATGGGTGGGAGGCTTTTTGTGGGGATAAACAGACATAAAGAGGTCCTCGTCTTGGGGCTTCCTGGCACTCTACTGATCTATAACTTTGGGCGTCACCAACAGATTATATGAAAAAAAACTGTCATTCCTGGAGCTGTGCAGTTGGCTTTACCGGAGAGTAATTCCAGTTCTTGCTCACTTACATCGTTGGATTGGAAGAGTTTTGTCATGGCAAAGAATGCCTCCGTGGCCTCCATTGTACCCAAGTGCTCCCCCTGTAATGACAACACAAGGTGGGTTACAGACTGACCACCGGAGGAATTCTTTATACACTGAAAGCTATGAGGTACATAATAGGGTTCTAGAACAATGGATAAATCTTACACAATTGAGGGCTTCTTAAAATACAGAACAATCCCAATTATCGGAATATATGCGCTGCACAGGTCTCGTTGTAATTGGACTATAGCAACGATAATCCTTGCACAGACAGGACCGTGGTTTAACAATTCATCCAAAGCACGGCACCTCCAACAACGAGGCACTCACCTCAGCACTAGGAGTCAGCCTAGTATCCAATGCAGTTCTTTAAATCCTTATCAGAGACAAAGGGAAGCATATCATAGGTGGCCAAGATTTTGTAGCAACTGCACCTCTATCCTCTGGTACTCCCTCTCTCTGCCCTTCCCTCTCACTCCTCTACCAGTCTTTAAATCCCGTCCGAAAGTCTACCTCTTCGACCCTACCTACTGTCACCTCTCCGCAAAGCTCTCGGAAATGTTAGCCTACATGAAGCCGCTATATAAAAGCAAGTTGTTCTGGTAAGAGGCTATAAAAGTTCCTGGGGGGGGAAATCTACCGTTCCACCATGCAAAGCCATTCGCTTATATCCATTTTTCGGTCTTGCACAGCGCGATACTGCTTTCTGACCAACAGAGAGGTTGTTGCATTACAGGCCATTGCAAACTTTTTTTATACACCCCAACAAAGGCACTCAAGGAGCCACACTGCAGCTTTAAGAGGGAAAGCAACCAAACACTGTAATGCTGCACCGTAACATTCGTACATCATTTTTAGTTTAGCATTGCCACCTGGTGTGGGAAAGTGGTACGACGTGATTATAACGCTTCAGTTTGGGGAAAATTCAGGGAAAGGGAAGAATATTTTCCTGCATAACCGCTGTGTACATAATTCGAGGGTTTCTAAAGAATCTGGATCATTTTGACAAGACAATAGAGTAATTTTTATACCACACACTGAAAGTTACAATGAGTTACTGTGAAGTGTAGTAACAGTAGACAATTCCAATAGCACTCACCAATGAGATGGCTAACCAGTCACTGGATGAGGGAAGGTTTTTTTTTGGTTAGCCGGGTGTCTCTGAGACAAGCAGAAACCCATCACAGTGCTTAAGAATAGCCAAACCTGACCGAGTTCAACATATATATGCCATCTGTACGTAGAAATCTGAGCGCATCTGTAATGGAATGTACGCTCTGTCCCTCGACACAGAGAGAGAATTATCTCATTCATGAGGAAACGGCAAATATTTAAAGGGCATCAAACTACAGAGAAAGTAGAAACACATCAGATTGTCTAACAGAGGAGTTAATTGTGAAACAGTGAACTGTAATATAAAGCAGCACCTAGAATGTAAATATCAGGTTATGTGGAAAAGGCAGCCCACCTGGTTTATCAGGTACAGAATCTTGGTCAATATGTGAGCACATTTCCGAGGATTGATTGGAGTTTCGTTAAAAAGTCGAGCCTGTAAACAAGAGATGAGAGTGTAATAATAATAATGTAATAATAATCCTTATCACAAAATTGAGAAGACTCAAAGCTCTTCACAGAATATACTGTAAAGTGAATTGACTGTATATCTTGTGGGCGAAACGCGGCAGCCAATTGCGCACAGCAGTGTCCCACAAACAGTCGTGGACTGAGTGACCAAATTATTATTATTTTATAATTTTTATTTCTTGAAGGGGTTATTACCCCCGGAAAGCCATCCACCAATCGACTTTAACAACCAAGTTCCTACTTCCTCTGAGAGGTAAACAGAGGCGTGTGGAGTAAGGAAACTTGCTTAGGTTTTGCCCGACCAGGAATCAAACGCAGGTCCTCTCGCTTGCAAGGCGAGCACGTTAACCAATACACAACAGGACTCCACATACTCTACAGAACTCAATAATCAATGTGTATATCACACCACTGTTCAAACATCTGGGTTTTATCCTTAAAGCTACATCACAAATGAGGACAGTGCTATGTGAAATATTTTCCTGTATTTCAATTTTCATATCAAGATTATAATACCATAGGTTTCTTTCATTAAAGCCCAACTCCATTTTATACTTTAATAGATACACATCTGCGATTCATTTTATATACCTCTGAACGTTTGCAGCAGATTCCTATGTGAAGCCACACAGCCTGAGTGCTGCCATGCAGATCGCAGCTTTCTGTGGTTTTGCTCTGGTGCCCTGACCACTCTTTAATTTTGGCAGCACAAGTACTGACTGCACAGGTGGCCACAGATCTCAACAACAACAAATTGCAATTTTTAAGCCTATTTCACATGGGAGGATCTCTCTTTTAGTATAATTCAGTAACAAGGCCAAGAGACCTGATGGAGGAAAAGGAGGTACTGAGCTCCAAAGGAAACAGTCCTGAAAACAATGCTCACCTCCTGCAGCACTGAACTCTTCTCCAGATGTTGGAATGGGTTTGAACCACCTCCTGGGGAGGAAAAAGTAAAATGTATTAAAAACCGTTGAAGCATAACGAGAACGACCATCTTATTAATGAAACTGGTCAATCCATCCAGGAAAATCGTCATCACTGGGAATAACACATTCCTTCATGCTAAGCACATGCCCTTTTAATACAGAATGGTACAACTGATGGAGGAAAGGGAAATATTCAACAACAACAATTTGCATTTACAATATACAGCGCCCTTCATGTGGTGTGGCATCAAAGTTACTGAAGTCTGTACAATCGAAGGACTTTTACCAAACGATGACTATGAAGTTCATGTGTCACACCAGATTGTATAATGTATTAAGAGACAAGTGTTACATATATTCATCTTCGGGTCAGATGCACATAAGTCGTATATCTCTCGCTGGCTGATGGATGGCGGTTATGATGTCAAAGCAACAAATCTATCTTTGGGCAGAGAAGCAACATAGCGGGATTGTTGCAACTTGCAGGTAAAGGCCCCGGAGACCCTGATAAACAGGCTCCTTTTATTGTATTTTACTTTTCTTCTTTGTAAAATATAAAACTTTCTCATTTTGAAAAAGTTCATAACTTCTTTTGTATTTAACATTTCTTCCCAGCCTCGTCTTCAAGTGACCTACACCATATAGCGTGGGTGGGTAGTCAATCTGCTCCTGGGTGCCTGTCAATGGGCTGGGGGTTTTGAATATCTGCAGCCCCTGGGAGCAACTAACACTCTAGGCTTTCCCATCCTTGGTATAATGTCCAGTTATTTTACCTGAGCCATATTGCACACCTTTGGCACTGCGTGACTTTGGTAACATTAGCACGCTAAAGCAAAGCATAGTGACCAGCGATGTTGGTTTAACAGAAGCCAGGAACCCATACAGATTCAGCAGACTTCGTGACATCAGCAGGAAGTAATCTGCGCCAACAATGCTTCATAAACAACGAGATGGGCAGCCAATTAAATCTGAACTTGGGGGTACATTTGGATTAGGAAGGGGGTATAAGACAGAATAACTGGGAGAAAGACTCCAAATATAGAGGTGCAAGTGGGCAACTTGTGCCAATGATTGAGCACTCAGTTTTAATTCAATAATATTATTATTATTAATTTGACACAAAACAAATATAAGCATAATTGACATATGAACAATGCAAAGGCCCCCCCATAAACATTACCCACTTCTACCACAACTACCAACAGCACTAACATTGCGAGTTCTGTGACTGAAGACAACATGAGAACAACCAGAAGGGTTTCAAAAAATATCATCCAAAGACTTAAAAGAGTTACCGTAATCACTTCTAATTACTTCTAATTGTCTAATAAACTTCACTCAAGGGCTGTCAGCGCCAAGGAAATGAGTGTTGGGAGTGAGATTCTTGAAAATAAAGTGAAGCAAACCGTGAATATGCTTACAATAATAATCCTTCCATTTGGCAGCACCTTTCACAATGTCAAACTGTCTTGAGTATTTTAAAGGATTTACCGTATAGCGACTTACCAAAAACAGGTAGGTCAGGGCATTAAGGGATATGGGGAGAAAGCGTGAAATTGGAATTGAAATGATTAATTGAGGTACAGATCAGCCACAATCAAATTAAATGGCAGAAGAGGCTCGAAGAGCTGAACAGCCTCCTCCTGTTTCTATGTTCCTATGATCAGGTATATGTTGGTGAATAAGACAGCCAATGTATGCAATGTCCCACAAAAAGCTGGCTGGTGAAAATAACCTTCCAAAGGGAATTGGGATTACTTTTATGTATCAAACGCGTATTAAAATAAATCATGGTTGTGTATGCAGGATATTGCTGGGTGCAAAATTGGCTGTGCGTTCACCCCCAAAATACATTCACGACACTTTACAGTAAATCCCGTGAAGCTTCTGAGATGTTTCAACATCTGTGATAAGGCGCTATATCAAATGCAAAGATTATTAATTAATAGATACAACTTGGATTTATATAGCGCCCTCCACGCCGGACAGCGTCTCAGAGCGCTTCACAGTAACGGATCCCGGGGCCGAGCCAGGGGGAGGGGGAGGAAGGTGACGAAAGCCGCAGTCGAAAAGAAAGGTCTTCAGCAGAGACCTGAAAATAGGAAGAGAGGGGGCGAGGCGAAGGGAGTGAGGAAGGGAGTTCCAGAGCCTCGGGGCATAGTGGCTGAAGGCACGGCCGTCGAGGGTGATACCCATCACTCAATGTGTTTAAAAGTATTGAATCCAGACCAATAGCTCCACATATGCATGATTTCTCCCTGGAGGGAGATACCTTGTTTCCCTAAATCTGAAGAGTATTAGCTGCAGGTCAGCAAGAGCTAAGGCTTGGGGGAACTCAAGCGTCTGCTTTGGGGTAACTGTCGCGAGTCTAACCAGTTAAAACCACATAGCACTGTGTCAGTGGCAAGGCAAGGCCATGCGGGATCCAGCTGGACAAACTTTCCCGCTGCTGGTCCAGATCTCGACTTCAAGATCCTCACCCTCGCCTTCAAATCTGGCACGGCCCTACCCCTGGCGCGGCCCTACCCCTGGCGCGGCCCTACCCCTGGCGCGGCCCTACCCCTGGCGCCGCCCTACCCCTGGCGCCGCCCTACCCCTGGCGCCGCCCTACCTCTCCAACCCGCTTAATGCCCAACCCACAACCCGTTCTCTCCGCTCGACTGGCCCGCCTCCTGCTTGCCTCTCATGCCCTCTGTTCCACCATCGGTGGCCGGGCTTTCAGCCACTACGCCCCGAAACTTCGGAACGCTCTCCCCCAATCCCTCCGCCTAACTCCCTCCTTCCCCGTCTTCAGTTTGTGCCTGAAGACCTCCCTCTTCGCCTCCTCGCCCCCCCCCACCAGGCTCAGCGTCACACTCCGCCACTGCCAAGCGCTCTGGGACGCTGCCCTACCCTACCCGACGTGCAGGGGGTTGGCCGTGTTAGCGCGAGCTGTCGGCGTGGGGCAGCGCCCTTCGCCGTTAGGGCTTCGCCTCCCAGGGTTACAGGACATGAGCAGGAGCCGAGTGGGTGAACTTCCCAAACCCCCTCCACCTGAGTGACTGCTCTGCCCTGAACAGGTCCAACTGATGAGCCATTGGGGGCTGTTCTGTCTGTCTGTCTGTCTGTCATCAGCGGTGCCCTGGAATATACTGTGGACCTGACTGGGGCCCAGCCCGGGGGGGGTTGACATGTATCCCGGTACCGGCTGAGCCCGAGGGCCCCGGGTACCTGCAGCCCCGGTGGTGGGGGAGGGGGAGGGCTGTCGCTATGGAAACCGCCGCACTCACCGGACTCCTCGTCCTTCTTGTCGAACTTCTTGAGCATAGCGATGGCGGCGGCGGCGGCGGAGGGGCGCTCGGGGCCGGGGCTGAGGGGAAGGCCGCGGGGCTGAGGCTCGGGGCTGAGGCTCGGGGCCGGGGCTCGGGGTTGGCTGTCGGGGCTGAAGTCACACGGATCACCGACGGCCTCGCGCACCGACTTCCGCTGCCTGTGCCTCGCGCTTCCTGCCAACCAGTCACCGCGACACGTCACCGCGACACGTCACCGCCTGCCCTCCCCCCCCCCACTCCCCGCGCCTGCGCACGGCTCACTCCGCCGCGCACCAAACGCGAGCCCCAAAAAGTAGCCCAACGTGACACGTGGCCTTCCTCCCTCTGTGTGGTGGTGTGGGGGGGAGAGCAGATCAGGCCTTTTTTTTTGGGGGGGGGGGGTGGGTTTTGGATACGGTGCAAATAAACCATCGCGGGTTTAAATTTGTAAGGGGGGGGGGTTTGCAAAAAAAAAAAATCAGGCCCTGTTTTTACCCTGTGCTGTTTTGGCAGAACGAAAAAGCGCCCAATTGGGCGTGAACCCGCCCAATCTGCCAACATGACGACCCACGTTCCTCCTTCCGCGCCCCCCCCCACCCCACGGGGTCTGAGCATGCGCGTCCACACTGACCAGCCCCAGGGTGACACCTGCCGGTGGCAGGAGGTATTGCACCCACATTCCCACCAGCACCACCCACATCCCTCACTGGTTTGTGTTCAGAAAGAGCCTCTCGTGCGGAATAACAGTGATAATAATGATAATAATCCTTGCATTGGATGTAACGCCGTATCGCGTCTTCGAGAGACGTCTCAAAGCGCTTCGCAGGATACGCTGCAACGTGAAACGCAAGCGGACGTCCCGCCGGGGACGCTCAGCGGGTCAGGCAGCATCTCTGGAGAGAGGAGAGTGAGCCGACGTTTGGGGTCCAACCACCCTTCGGCGGCACCGCCGGACTCACCGCCGACTCCTCGCGCCTCTCGGCGAAGGGCCGCGGACGCTCCGACGAAGGGTGGTGGACCCCGACACGTTGACTCACTTTCTCCATGAGTTGAGGCAAAACTCACCCCGAGTGGAGGTCGCAGCGAACGGGATGCACCGAATAGAAGCAACGACGTCGTACAATAATATTTTATCTCCTTCCCGGCTCTTGAAACACTGAGGAGCATTTGTATGATGCACTCGGGTGTTCTTTATCCACCTTTCCCTCCTTGTGCGCGAGTCTACACTGTGAGCATGACCAGAACATCGCAGCCGAACATGGGGCTATCCTCCTTTCCTGCAGCGGTCACAAAGATTCTGGCTAACCTTTTCCTCCTCTCTAGCCCAGAAGCGCTGTGTCTGATTGTAGTCAGCCACTGCCCCGCTGGCTAAGATGAGCTCAGCCCAACCACAGATCATCCTTGGGACCCTTTCAAACCTGTACAACACAGAACCCTGTCTTGTCACTACACGCAGAGCAGAATCTACTAGAATCAGCTCAGCGTGGCTGAGTAAGCCATCACCAGGGGAATAAATACAGTAGTTTGTCAATTGTTACGTTGATAACTTAAATCCTGTATTACTGGACAACAGTATCGGAGGAGAGATCAATGTTACAGCCTCCATGCAAGACTTAAATGTTTGAAATCACTCAAGACGTTAGGGAATAATAGAACTTCACGTTCCGTTATGAAATGACATCGAAAGAGACCAACCTGCCTCTTATACGATTGATTACCTACTGGTTTCATAATCCTCCTCGAAGTACATTGTGGTTTTCTGTGACGGTTTGTCCCGGTTGTCAAGAAAGTTCCACCATTAAGCCAGCTCCCAGCCCTTGTATTGGACTCACAGTCTCAACTCTTGCACTTTGCCCCAGAAAAGTCACTTTATCAGCAGTGCCTCAACGCCCAGGCACTAAACACGACAGGTAGGGAGATAGGTGTGTAAATACATAATCAGCGCTGTGCCATTAAAGGCATCTTGCCATTTGGTGAATTTCTTCGCAATTATTTTAGTTCGGGATCGTTGGCCAGAACACTGGAAGAAACTCTCTTCTCTTTTCGAGTAATATCATGAAATCGTTAATGTCACCTAAAGAGGCAGAGGCAGGATCTCGGTTTAGTGTCTCATCCTAACAGCAGCACCTCTGACCATGCAACACTGCCTCCAGCACTGCACTGGAGGGTCAGACTTTGAGCTCACTTGTGACTTGAATGCGCAACCTTCTGATACAGTAGGCGAGAGTGCAACTGACTGAGCCAGTCTAACTCAGCCATTAACAGGCACTTACAAAGTGACTTTTCCATTGTAGACACAGTCTTAAAGTTTCTGTACTTTGAAATAAGAGGCCTCTCTTGCTCAAGTCTTCACGAAAGCCTGTTTTTGGTTGTAAAAACAGACAGAGCTGGTGAGCAGGTATTTCTGTACTTGCATTGCCTTTATTTCCGTAGCTGTATTGATCAGACAAACTTCCATTTTGGGCACATCACACTATTGATTAACTCGGTGTAATAAACCTTTGCTGGCTTTATCAATGTCACTGGAACATCTACAAGTCTGATATCCATTGAAGGATTATCCCCCCAGGAATATAGCAGAACACGACCGATAGAAACAATGCCGAACACATTCCTTTATCAATATTCTTCTGAAGAAAAACAAAATGGAATTCGAACGTTGCAGTATTTTATATGGATGCAAATGCCTCTGTGGTCCTGAAGGATTAAAGCCACAGTATCTTTTTGCGAATTGAGAATTTTGTTCAAAAACCGCAATAGAAGGTAGTTTCCAACTAAGAGGACAGCAGATCTAATAATAATAATAAAAATAATAATAGTAATAATAATAATAATAATCCACAACTATTTGTGGGCCACTGCTGTGCACCATTGGCTGCCTCATTTCACCCACAAAATATACAGTCAATTCACTTCACTGTGAAGCGCTGAGACGTCTCAAAGACGTGATAAGGCGCTGTATCAAATGCAAGGATTATTATTATAATAACCCTTGCATTGGATTTAGTGCCTTTCACCTCAGGACTACGTCTCAAAGCGCTTCACAGTGTTTACTGGAAAGTGTATTTTGCAGCCAATCTGCACACAGTAAACAATCACAAAATGTGTGATGAGTTTTATCTCGGGGATTTGTGTTTCGGGAGAAGAGGTCAGGATTGATGAGATGAGGCACAAAATCACTAATCATGATCATGAACTAAGTAGATGTAAGGTTGGATAAAATCTTAGTTAATGACTGGAACAGTTTGCCAGGGAAGGTGGTTGAGGCCAGGACACTGGGCTCATTTAAAAAGCAGTTTGATGCTAGGATGAGGATTCTGGAGGGTCGAGATCAACTGGACCAAAGAGCCTTCTTCATCCTAAACCGATCAAGCACTCTGGAAAGCTATCAAACACTTTGGGACTTTACCCTGTGTGAGGTACACTATATAAATGGAAGTTGTTGTTGCTGTTGTTGTGATCTCACATGTAGTGCTCGATGCCCCTTTGGGTAGAAGACCTCAGGGCTTCATTTAATCCCAGCACCAAAGGACATTGTCTGGACTCACAAAGACATGACAATTCAGTCACTGAACTCATTTAAGAAACAGCCTGACAATATAGGGATGGCATTGAGGGAGTTTTATTGTATTAATGAAAACAAATAGGAAATGTTGGTTCTCACCTCTCCTGGGAGGACCAAAGAGTTTATCGGATTAACAGCTGTTTATGTGAAGTGTTTAAGTGAGACTAGTATCTGTGAAACTGTTCTCAGTCTCGAGTGATCTACAGGAGAGAAGGGAGGGGGAGGAGGAGTGGGGATGAAAAACAACCAAACTACTCGTCAATCTCAGCAATAGCAGTTTGCCTACAAAAATACAGTCACTACACCTTACAGTGAGTGGAGTGCTTTGAGACGGCCTCCTGACATGACGATGTCACATGTGAAGCTTGTTATCAGCTTGTATGACACTGAGGAACAATTGTGCCAATTTCAGTAAGTTTGGAAAATTTGATCAAGTTTGTTTCATAAAGAACTAGAAACACTGTGGCACGAGAAATGTACTTATTATACGTTTAAAATTTGCCCAACATTTTTTTTTAAAGACACAGGAACAAATTGGTTGAACAGCAGCTAGTCCACTTCAGTGAATTCACCACATGGAGTCAGTTCACCAGTCACCCCAGTGACTAATTAATCTCGCTTGTCAAACACGCAGAATAACACACTCCAGAAATGCAAAGTCCTCAGTTTTGCATCTGACTTACTGCTGATGTGCATCTCCCAAGTGCATCGCAGTGTCTTCAATGCCTTATGGATCCGTCTAAGAGTCTCAAGCCAGTGATAAGCACAACAGATATGCTGATTGAATTACAAGGTGTAATGTAATTGAGACATGTTGGGGTTAGCACTTAAACTGTGGCATTGCAACTAACTTCACAAGGGCAAGGGGTGTTATAAGTATCCTTTCATTATCATCTCAAAGCATCTCATTGCGCTTCACAGTAAATATTGTTAAGTGTGGTGACTGTATTTTGTAGGCCAATTTGCACACAGCAATGTCCCGCAAACAGCCAGGAGATGGATGATCATTTTATCAGAGGTACTGACAGCCAGGACAACATGAGAAACTCTCTTCTCTTTTTGAATAGTGCCAGAGGATCTTTAATGTGCAACTGAACAGGCACAGATCGGTTTAATGTCTCATCTGAAGGACAGCACCTCTGACAAATGCAATGCTCCCTCTCAGCACTGCACTGAAATGTCAGCCTGGACTATGAACTCAAAGTCTTATGTTCTTAAGCATGTCAGTAAGTGCTGGCGGACAACAGGGTCACCTCATGGTCATTTCCCATAAGGGAAGGGAGGCAACAAAGAGAAACAGAAGGTAGGCCAACATCAACTTTGTGGAGTCCTGTAGCTCAGTGGTTAGAGCACTCGCTTTGCAAGCGAGAGACCTGAGTTCAATTCCAGGCAGAGGGCGAAACCTTGGGCAAGTTTCCTTACTCCACACAGAGCCTAATAATAATCCCTCCAAAAAACAAAAACAATAATTAAATTGGTCATTTTCAATCTATGACTGTTTGTGGGACATTGCTGTGCGCCATTGGCTGCCGTGTTCGCCCACAAATATACAGTCAACTCACTTTACAGTATATTCTGTGAAGCGCTTTGGGACGTCCTCCTGACGTGAAAAGCACTATATCAAATGCAAGGATTATTATTATTATTATCAAGCATTCTCTGGCAGACAACAGCTAAAGGAAAGATCATTTGCCCTTTTCACCATGGCACCATTCAAAACGAGAAGGCAGCTTCTCCCAGTGTCCTGGACAACAATCCCTCGAATAAAATCAGTCATTCACTTCATGGGTATTTGTGAGACATTGCTGCATGCAAATTGGCTGCCGTGTTGACCTAATACTAGTATTAATATTACTAATCCTTGCATTTGATAAAGTGTTTTATCATGTCATTGAGACGTCTCAAAGTGCTTCACAAAAGCACTAATTACACTTTACAGTAAATCCTGTGAAGCGCTTTGAGATGTTTCTACGGCCTAATAAGGTGCCATATCAAATGCAAGGATTATTATTGATTAGCACAATAAGAATCGTTTAGAATTAGAGAGTGAAGAACCGACAGAAATAAACTGTCTGAAACTGGACGAAGGAGCAGATGACCAAAACAAGAAATATTAATTGGTTTCCTAAACCAGTGGGAGAACAGACACTTCACGTTTTGAGCACACAGGAGGTACAATCTGAGCGCTTTACTTTATGGAGAGGACACAAGACAAATCCAGCTCAGAATGGAGGTGAGATTTCCCTGGGTCCTCAACAGCGTGTCCAGTATTTCAGAGCATCCAGAACGTGGCAAATTGTTCATTTCAACTCCTTTTGAAGTCGGATTCTTCCATTCGTAAAAGAAACCTACACTAAACCAACTTCAGAAACGAGGGCTGGATTTTTGCTGAATTTTGCCCTGAGATGCTAAGAACAGAGAATAAATCTAGACCTGAGTGGAATCTCTACCCCATCGCATTCGGTGTGGCACGGCTTTTTATTCTGGGTTGCATCTGGCTTCTCGCCAGGAGATGATATATAACCATCAAGATCAAGTTAAGCACAGCAAATAACATCAGGTTACTCCAAGGGTTCTGAAGCCTTGGCAGGGCCTTAGCAGTCTACAGCAGGGGAGTGCTAGAATAAGCCTGAGATAAATAGGCCTGTCAGCTCTTCCTTCAGATGTGACTCATCAAGCATACAGATCATTTCGATTTTCAAGGTTAATGGGACGTCTGGCAAACAATGAAATAAAAGCCAACTGCTGGATATCCACAGGAGGTCAAACAGCCTCTGAAAGAGAAAGACAGGTTTGGAGAGTAAACGAGGGGAGAGTGATGGAGTGCATTTGGAAAGGACCATTGTGTTTATTCTTGGGAATAGTATGTGTGATAGATATCATTAAGTGTTTCTATGCTTCTATAAAGCTGGTAAATCGGACTGAATAGATTGTTCTTTCAAAGAGTCAGCAAAGACACGATGGACCGAATAGCCTTCAGTGCTGCAAAAATTTCTCCACCTATAGCATGAGTTCACCTACACACATAGCACGATCCTCAAATGCACCTTTTACTACTACTAATAATAATAATCCTTGCATTTGATATAGCGCTTTTCACGTCAGGAGGACATCCCAAAGCGCTTCACAGAACACACTGTAAAGTGAATTGACTGTATATTTGTGGGCGAACGCGGCAGCCAATTGCGCACAGCAATGTCCCACAAACAGTCGTAGATTGAAAATGACCAATTTATTATTGGTTTTGTTTTTTTCTGGAGGGATTATTATTACTAAAGTGACTATTTGGGTGGCATTGCAC